AAACTCAAACAAGGACGTATGCTGGAGATTTCATTTCTAAATAAGCTCACACAATAGCCGTGAAAGAGATTCACTGATCGCCTAACACACAACCTCGTATTTTTTTTAAACAACAAAAAACATTAAAACACGCTTGCCTTGATTTACCAATATATTGTTTATCTGGCGTGATGTTTATGTTACTGCCACGCAGGCACCGGTACCTTGTCTGTATACCACCTACAATCATTTATGTATGAATCAAACACTCACAACTTTTGCATGCGGAGGAACTTTAAATTTGAGGGAAACTTTGGCTTTACCATTTTGGAATATTCCTGGGACTGTTTCTGATATCGGATGGCAATGACAAGAATTGCAAAAACGAATGCAGCAGGAGTAAAGGCCGAACACATATTTCCATACGCGTGGCCTTGTCAATAAACTGATAATGTCGACAATATGTTAAAGATTTCAAACATAAACATAAGCTTGGTAAACACTTACCGTCAAACTTCAGCGCACCTGCTTCTAAACAAGTGAGTGTGGAAGGTCATATCCGGGTTGGAAGACGGACCGTCATACTACTTTCCTTTGACTTATTATTTCATGTAAATCTGTTAAGGGCGTCTGCCTGCCATCCAATTTGCATGTCGGAAACTATATAATCAGATGAGGGTTATTTATCTATCTTCGGGGCCTGCCACGAACAAAGTGTTTTTGTACTTAATTTCACATGTAAACATTGAAACCCACTGGTTGAATCATCCCTTTTAGATATTAAACCTAACAGTAGAGACCAACACAACAATGATTCTTACAATAAACGATGCGGCAGGATAAGAAAGCCATAACATAACATAATAAGAAAGATACATTTATCAACACATAAATAAAAAGTATCGCACATGACAAATACAAAAAACGCACAAGGTATGGGCAGAGTTACCTCCCTTATACCGTGGGGACCTCATCGCAGCGCATATAAGAAATATACTTATGTAACCGGAGTGGTTTAGGTGAACGAATCACTAAACGCAGGTTGATTTGTGGATGCCAGTTGTTTAATACATAAATAAACAGAGGCCCTGTGAAAAGAAATACACAGAGTTAAAATATGCACAATACCTACACATACAAATAAATCATTACATCATAACTTGTTAACAAATATTAGAATCTTATATATGATCATATATATGTAGCGGCCATAACATTTCCCGAGTCCCATGATGGGATTCGAACCACGGACCTTCTGATCCGAGGTCGGACGCCTTGTCCACATGACCAAAGAGGTTAACCCCGTCAGCAAGCTGACAAGGTAAGGATGTCATCTGTGGGATGACTCCACGCCCTGCTACATACATTGTTATGATCCATCGTAATTAGCATGATTAGTTTCATCTTACTGTACTCTAAATATTACAGTAGATTTATCATATAATAAATTGACAAACATAGTTTATCAATAATGGGAGAATGATGATAAATGCATTAATACATAACACACAATTTCAGTACACATCACTATAAATACATACAAAATATAAATGTCCTCACCAGGTGCATGGTACTGTGCACTATGATGTCACAGCATCAGACATCATTTGCTTTACCGGGACACACCTGAACATAAATATATATATATATATAACATAATTACAGTGTAACGTATAACATCAATATGTTTACATCCTTAGAATATATATTTTAGGGTTATTGTATATACCTAATCACTCACCTCATCATACAGACATACATTCATACATTCGCGGTTAGGTGCAGAACTTTAATTTACAGGTAAATAGCTCCAGTCTGTCAATAAAAGTTCTCATTATGCTTAATTACACAATAAGTTAAGTAATATCAACATGAAAATGCTAGTTAAGATTATCTATTATAAACATACTTAAAGTATTTAAGAAAATTTAGCCTAACTATATTTATCTGAATACGATGACTGATATGATATATATTTATCACACCTAACAATATAAGTACTATTAAAAGAAGTTTTAAAAAAACATACATATATATAATATTATATATATATGCACCCTTCAACAAACCCTTCAAAGCACTTAATAAGAACACATAAATATACAATTCAAACAAACTAACCTGTGACAATTGACTGAATTATTTTTCCGATGAACCGACAACTTGTCTCCATACATAGTCAAATACAAGTGTAAATTCAAACTGACCAGTCCCATAACGCACCCTGTCACTGAAAGTAAGGGGCTGGGGCTAGACAATAGAGACCAGAGAAACAATAGAGAAGGCAAGCGCAAGGGTGACAGTGCTATTGTATTAGTGAAGCAGGTTAGATTGGAGGGTAGACTAAAACTTAGGTATTAAAATAAGAGGTGATCTTAAAATACACCTGATGATATGTACATAATTACATACTACTACACTTACATTGTTTAACATTCAAATAACAAGTCATCTTTATACTTAAATAGGTAGGGATGTTTCCATTCACCGACGATATGTTTCAGGCCCGTAGTCGTGTGTGTGCGTGTGTGCGTGTGTGCGTGCGTGAGTGCGTTCGTGAGTGCGTGCGTGTTGGGATGTGGGTGGGGACATACATTTTTTAGTTCGTTGTGTTGGGTGTCCAATACCATATCATCAATCACACTGATTCAGAAATTTCACAAAAGACAATTCAAAAGACAAAACTAGAAAGCATATTATTTAATCTAGACATGTATATAAAATAATGTTGATTCAAAGTTCGGTTTCGAAACAAATACTCATTGGTATGTAGATGTTGGAGGGGTTGAGAAAGGTTCTCTTGTAAAAGTCCCAACAACTATAGGCCTGTTTTTCAGTATGAGTGAGTGATTGAGTATGGTTTTACGCCGCTTTTTGCAATATTTCAGCAATATCACGGCGGGGGACACCAGAAATGGGCTTCACGCATAGTACCCATGTCGGGAATCGAATCCGGGTCTTCGGCGTGACGAGCGAACGCTTTAACCACTAGGCTACCCGACCGCCCCTGTTTCAGTATGATGTCAGTATACGTGAGCGGTACCAGAATGGAACCTGATTTGGTGAAAACGGCAGCGGTCTGTGACAATAATAGCAACACAACCTCAGGTAAGTATTTCATATTTCAATAACTTTCCTTTAAAGATAATACGCTGTGGTTGATCAATATAAAGAGTGTACCTCATGTAATCAAAATTCTCCAAAGGAAACCATAATTATCAATACAAAATCGATATTTAGTCGACACACTACCTTTTCAGAACTGACTCAATCTCATTAAAATCAGATCTTCGTTCTCGCTATCACTAAACAAAGCAGCAGCGAGAACTTACATCTGATTTTAATGAGGTGAGGTGAAATGGGGTTAACGTTGCGTCCAAGATTATTGCACTTATATAGCGACGTGCATGCACGTAGGTGTGTGTGGCTGCTTGTACTAGTCCGGACTGATGCCGATTAATAGTGTTAGCCCACTGAGATACCATGCCGCAGTTTAACATGAATTCCCCACTCAGACACAGTATACTGACTCCGAGCCGACCAGTCCTTGTTTTAGCCCCTAATGCCGTGCGCCAGACAGGGTAACAACAAGTACCATCTTTTAACGTATATTGGTATGACGTGGCCGGGACCGAACCCCGAACCTTCCGCTCTCTGGGCCAATGATTTTAATGAGATTGGAATTGACTATCCACACAATACGTGCGACACCGCGTTTAGAGAAATGTGTTTTGTTTGTAAGTATATTTTGTTCTAAATTGATTATATTGTTTGCTTAAGTAGTTTGTTTGTGTTACGAAACGCAGACAGGACGACTGTCAGGTAAGTATAGTAATATTAGCTGATCGAATTTATAATCTAAAGATTTGTAAAAGTAAAAACAAATATTAAAAGAATATTTACGTGCTCCTACATGTCAAATATATGTATGCTGAATTATATATAATTGTTGTTATTTTTCAAAATATTTCCTTCTGTTTATAAATCATATTTATAGTGCAGTTTTGTGAATGAAATTTTGTTACGTTATCGCCAGCACCTTCCGGGGTAAGGGAGTTAACAGACTTTAAAAGTCCAGTTTCCATTTTAATAGTCAGTTAACTCCCATACCCCGAGAAGCTGTATCGCTTCATGCATATACCCGACCCCATGGGAAGGGGGAGCAGATCAAAGCGGCGTCATGTCAGAATGGCCTCAAAAGGTAAAATCAAAACGGTCACAGAAAATGTCAAAACGGCCACAAGGCCATAGTCAAAACCACCCAAAAAGTCATGAGGGACTGAACACAAAGTCAAAGTTTAAAGGCCGTTCTATCCCAATATCCAAGTGTAGTGCCAATAATGGAAATACGTCGACAATCCCGTTGCACAATAACATAGTGCCATCTTACACCCACCAAACAGAACTAACGATTGTGGGGTTGTGGGTGGGGGTTGGGGTGGGGGGTGGGGGGTGGGGGGTGGGGGGTATATGGGTGCGCGTGTGTGTGTGTGTGTGGGGGGGGGGGGGTATGGGTGCGGTGTGTGTGTGGTTGAGGGGCGCTTGGGGAACGGCGTTTATGGGATTGGTCTTAGGACTGTGTCACATTTTGTCGACCCCACCACCAATGTATGCATCATTTTTTCATTTACCCCCTCTCATGTCACACACACCCCTCCCAGTTATAAATTACCAGTCCCTAAAATAAAAATTACAAAAAAACACAGTGTCATTTTTTTTCAATATTCAAGCCTGGATCAGAAAACCCAGTGATTGAATTCATGAGCACCGAACACCATGACATGCAATAAACCGAGCCTGACCACCAGATTCCTTTAGTCGTCTCTTACGACTAGTATAGGTTGCTGGGAACTTATATTCTTTTACCGGGATCCTCGCGTGTATGAGTTATAGGAATAAGTAACATGCTCTCACTCATGAGTTATCTAAAAATAGATAGCAGCCACCTCAGTGCCACCTCTCAACATAAAACACAGTTATATGTTGTGAGGGAAATATCCTTGAAATGTCCCATAAGGCACCTCTTCGCCTTCCACTTCCTTTTCTACGAAGACTTCGTTCACGGAATATCATTGTAAGGGACCCTTGTTTGAAATCGACTTAAATCGCAGTTATTACGAGTGCATCAATGAAAAAAATAATGAAAATTAATAAAGGAAAGATTGTTCTACAATTATACATGCTTATTTTCTGTTTGATTGCAGAAGGACGTCCGCAATCACAATGTCAGATGCGGAAGGGTACGTGTTGTCACGTGTGACTGTCTTTTTAGCATTACATAACAAGAAGCCGGCAACATATGTTACGTCACCTAATTACATTCAGTTTAATGTAAACTGATGTAAACAATAAGTCATAATCAGTTTTAGTTTATTTGCTACAACAAGAGTGCCACATTCCACAGGCACAGGTTTGGAATAGGCTGAGAGCAGTCATACCAGATTAGTGTCACATTTCTTTTTTATTACCGGTAACCGGCATATCCGGGCAATTGATTATTTTCTTGAAAACATTGACGTTAACTCTCTACATGTGATGTGTATAGTACACAGTATTTTATCCGCAAGAGACTATCTTGTGAATGAAATGTTTAAATACACCTAAACATATTTCACATGTTCGGCTTGCAAATGATGAAAAAGAATGTCAACAGCATTCATCAACATGTATAAAAACGTTTTTACTTCAAAAAGTGAATTATTCAAAACAGTAGGAGTGTGTGCCTTGGCAATCATGTCATGCTAATTCATGTTAACCTAGAGCAGGGTGGTTGGGTAGCCTGGTGGTTGGGTAGCCTGGTGGTTGAAGCGTCGCTTGTCACGCTGAAGACACAGGTTTGATTCCCCACATGGGTACAATGTGTGTAGCCCATTTGTGGTGTCCCAGGCTTTGATGTTGCTATGATATTTATAAAAGCGGTGTAAAACCTAACTCCATCATGCTAACCTTGTTGACCTTGTCGAAAGCTTTGTGCAATATGTGTTTTGGAGACTTAATTTTGAAGGTAAACACAAGTTGGGCCACCGACTCACTTTTATGCTAGACCGCCTCTGGTCTAGTGGTAGGGCATGCGCCCGGAGAGCGGAAGATCCGGGATTTGATCCCCGGCCGCGTCATACCAAGAGACATTAAAAGATGGCACCATGTTTAAAACATTTGCAGATAATTTTCTGAGTAATGTGATTCACGAAAACAACATTGGGAACAGTGTGTTTTCAGCTAAAATTATGTCATCAGCGTTAGAAATTGGCACTAGTACTATAGTCCTTACCAAACTGCCCAATAGTAAAGGTATCCTAAGGACTAGTAGAAATTGGCCCATTTTAAAGGTTTTGCTATATGTTATCATTATAAGGACTAGTGGACAAAAACTGTTAGTTTCTAACCCTGGTCATGGTATTTCTTTTTCAAATGTAAACTGTTCAAGTATTATGTGACACAAAGAATGAAGGAACATTCAGTGAAATAACTTCACCTTGTTAAGCGTAAACAAAGACACGCTGATAGCTTTGAATTTCAAAACACAAACAAATTCATTGATTGGTTGAATCTACAAAACTTACTGCCTTCGTGCCCTATGGTAGAGCGTCTGCCCAGAGAACACAAGTTTTGGGGTTCAGTCAGCATTAAGGGGATAAAACGGACTGGTCAGCTAGAGTCTGTATACTGTGTCTGAGTGGGGTATTCATGTTAAACTGTGGCATGGTATCTCGGAGGGCTAGCACTATGAAATCAGCATTAGTCTGGACTAGTGCACACAAGTGCGCACGCACGCTGACACACTGACACACTGACACACACACACACACACACACACACACACAACGTGATACTAAACCCCACCACCTCGCCACTAATGATAACTATTTATGTAGGTACTTCTGAATTGGGCTGCAGGGATATTTAGAAATGGGAAAGTTGTGTTACTGATGAGGGTGTTTGGTATTTTAGAGATGATGTTCCTATCGCCGCCATCGGCGGTGGTCCAATGGATCTGTTCACTGCTCTACAAGAAGTATTGAAGACCTCCCTCATCCATGACGGACTAGCAAGAGGACTCCATGAGTGTGCCAAGGCACTTGACAAGTAAGAGAACTTGTACATTCATGAGTGATTAGAAGGTTCAATATTCAATTGCACACATGCCTCTTGTCTATTAGGTTCATGTTTCCATTTCCCCATGGGAACCAAGGTTAAAATTGATCCCCATTACGCTATTGCTTATAGTAAGAAGCAACTTAATTGGATTTCTGGTCTGGTCCAGATTTGACAAGATATGGCTGAAATGTTTGCTGATAGTGGTGTAAAACAAGTAATGTATCATTCTCAATTTAGCCAGGCATCCCAATTTGGAATTTTCTCAAAATGTTTGTCTAAGGTTCTTATAGCTTATTCTGGAGCGCCATTAAAGTGCAAATATTCATTGACAACAATATTGTTACAAGTTTAACACAAAAAGTCTCTTCCCTACCATCATATATTTCGTAAATAACCATATGATTCACAAACTCTGTATTTATGTTCCGGTGTACAAGCCTGTTTCCCCCAATCAGTTTTGTCATGACGTGACTAGTAAATATGTAACAGTTTACAAACAGAGAGGGCGATATATTTGCACTGGCCCCAAATTCCATAAGTGTGTTTGCAGTGAAGGACAATTCGTGTTTCAGACGTCAAGCTTTCTTGTGCATCCTGGCCAACAACTGTGACGAACCAATGTATGTGAAGCTGGTGGAGGCCCTCTGTGCTGAGCATGGAATCAACCTTCTCAAGGTGAGGGTTTGGGGATACATCGTGACATAGGCAGGCAGTGATGGCAAGACTGAAGGGATAAATAGAACGAGTACCCTGTCAGTCATTTTATTACTGTTGGTTCAGTGACTTACGCAAGCCAGTTCTACAGAAATACCAGAGTTTGGCGTGCTTGTCAAAGGTTTTGAGATATTTTAGTACCCGACTACAAGTGGACATGCACCATGTCTCAAAATGACATGATATTCCTGTTCAGTCTATGAAAAACTGTAGGGCATGGGGCAACATGTGACTAAGAGTAAGAAACATCTGCTCTGCAAAGCCTTGGTTGGCCATATGTAGGTTGGCGGGGGATATAGAAACGGGTTCCGTCCATTTCTGGAGCAATACTCATAAACCGTTCAATATTTTTTCATCAAACTTCGCAGGTCTGTCAGGTACATGCTGAACTGGTGCCTTTTGCTATTTAGAAATTTTAGAAATGTTTATTTTTTTACGTTTCCATGGCAGCAAGATGGACTTAGGTTCCAAACTCTTCTTTTTTTTACAATTTCCCTGACAAGTTCCACCTCGGTTAAAAAAGGTTAGGGTTTGTTTAGATTTAATTATGTCATAAATTCTGCAACAGGGGCGGGGGATATAGCCACGTTAGTGGCAAACTCTTGTTTGTCTTGTTCATATATCTGTTTGTAGAAGACTAAGCCTGTGATGAAAGTACATGCTCCCTCTTCTGAAATGATATGAGGATTAGCTTACAAAATGTCTGAGGTTTACAGTCTTGATTTGTTCATTAGCAATTTGTGTATACATCATGGCTGACAGGGAAAATATATTAGCTTAGCTTGGTTTCAACCAGTGTCACCTTAGTGTTGCAAAGTAGTGGAGTTTACCCAAGTTGCCGTCACATTTGTTGGACACATGCTGATTTTGTGTTATCATACCTGATACAGGACCATTTTTTTAGCAGTTTCCTATTTTCAGTCACCATCACCATCCTACACCATCTAGTCTAATTTGAAGTACAATAGATCTTAAATGTCAACTGTGTTCTGCTAAAAGGTTTTTGTTCATTCTGCTTTTTTAGTTGATTAACAGAATGTTATCCTGTAGGGTTTGGTTTGTTGTTTTACGCCGCACTCGGCAATATTCCAGCTATATGACGGCGGTCTGTAAATAATCGATTCTGGACCAGACAATCCAGTGATTTACATCATGAACATCGATCCACGCAATTGGACATGCATCAACCAAGTCAGCGGGCCTGACCAACCAATCCCGTTAGTCGCCTTTACGAGCCTTTTACAGCAAGCATGGGTTGCTGAAGACCTATTCTACCCAGGATCTTAACAGGTTTATCCTGTAGGGTCCTGGTAATGTCCAGGGCCCACTTGCATAATGCGATTTTAGCGCTAAGATGATCGCAACTCCCATACTTTTACATAGGCTTACAATAGTTGTAGCGCTAAGATCGCTTTGTGAAAGTGGGCCCAGTTGTTTCTCTAAGCTTGATTTGGCCCCCTTATGGCAGTCATTCTATGCCATTAGGTTTGTTCAAACTGATGCTCAAGACATTTTGGTTGGTAAAATAGAGATCTTTCTATGTGGCAACATGCATATAGCCAGTGTCTGAATCACGGATCCAGTGATGAAGACACATGCTCCCTCTTCTGAATCAGGGTGAGGATTAGCTTTTACAGTGTCTGAGGATCAGCTGATAATTTCATACCTGATGCAGATCCATGTTTGAGCAGTTTCCTATTTTCAGGTATCATTAAGCTTAATGATATTTCCTCCTGTAGCATAACTCATATTTCCCTCAATGATGCATCCCCTTGTTAGTTAACAGTGGTAGAAATTAACATTTTTGTCCACTAATCCTTACAATGATAACATATAGCAAAATCCTTCAAAATGGCAAATTTGTACTGGTTCTTATGATACCTTAACTATTTTGCAGTTTGACAAGGGCTACAGGACAAATGCCAATTTCTAACGCTGGTTAAGAAATAAATAATGTTCTTACACCATCTAGTCTTATTTGAAGTCTTTGAACAATAGATCTTAGATGTCAACTATGTTATGCTAAAAGGTTTTTGTTCATTCTGCGTTTTTAGTTGATTAACAGAATGTTATCCTGTAGGGCCCTGGTAATGTCCAGGGCCCACTTGCTCAAAGCGACTTTAGCGCTAAGACGATTGCAACTCCCATACTTTAACATAGGCTTACAATAGTCGTAGCACTAAGATCGCTTTGTGAAAGTGGGCCCAGTTGTTTCTATCAGCTTGATTTGGCCCCCCTTATGACAGTCATTCTATGCCATTAGGTTTGTTCAAACTGATGCTCAAGACATTTTGGTTGGTAAAATAGAGATCTTTCTATGTGGCAACATGCATATAGCCAGTGTCTGTGAATCACAGATCCAGTGATGAAGACACATGCTCCCTCTTCTGAATCAGGGTGAGGATTAGCTTTAACAGTGTCTGAGGATCAGCTGATAATTTCAATGCCCAAGTGGCTTTGGTGAAGCCTAGTGGTTAAAGGGTTCGCTTGTCACACTAAGCATCCAGGTTCGAATCCCCACTTGTTTGAGGTCCTCCATCAGTTGCATGGATTTACTCACAAGCTGCCTGACCCGTGAAGATCGGGGTAGAATAGGTCTTCAGCAACCCATGCTTGCCGTAAAGGGCGAATATGCTTGTCATAAAAGGCGATTAATGGGATTGGGTGGGCAGGCTTGCTGACTTGGTTGATGCATGTCATCGTATCCCAATTGTGTGGATCGATGCTCATGATGTCAATCACTGGATTGTCTGGTCCTGTTAGTCACCTGTTAGTCACCTCAAGTGCTTGTGAAGACATGTTACCATATTTGCCTTTTTATCCCCCGCCGCGCGAAAGCGCGAAGCGGGGGATATAGTATTCACGACCGTCTGTACGTCCGTCCGTCCGTCCGTCCGTACGTCCCACCTGTTTGTTGCCGCGATATCTCAAGAACTAAACACTGGATTGTCTTCATATTTGGAACTATGGTGTATATACAGACTCCAGTCGGTTTTGGTGACCTTGATCCCATTTTCAAGGTCACAGCAGACAAATCTGCTTTTAGAGTTGGAAAACGGTGTTGCCGCGATATCTCAAGAACTAAACACTGGATTGTCTTCATATTTGGAACTATGGTGTATATACAGACACCGCAGACACCAGTCGGTTTTGGTGACCTTGACCCCATTTTCAAGGTCACAGCAGGCAAATCTGCTTTTGGAGTTGGAAAACGGTGTTGCCGCGATATCTCAAGAACTAAACACTGGATTGTCTTCATATTTGGAACTATAGTGTATATACAGACTCCGCAGACACCAGTCGGTTTTGGTGACCTTGATCCCATTTTCAAGGTCACAGCAGGCAAATCTGCTTTTAGAGTTGGAAAACGGTGTTGCCGCGATATCTCAAGAACTAAACCTCTCGATTGTCTTCATATTTGGAACTATGGTGTATATACAGACACCGCAGACACCAGTCGGTTTTGGTGACCTTGACCCCATTTTCAAGGTCACAGCAGGCAAATCTGCTTTTGGAGTTAGAAAACGGTGTTGCCGCGATATCTCAAGAACTAATCGCTGGATTGTCTTCATATTTGGAACTATAGTGTATATACAGACTCCGCATACACCTGTCAGATTTGGTGACCTTGACCCCATTTTCAAGGTCACAGCAGGCAAATCTGTTTTTGGAGTTGGAAAACGGTGTTGCCACAATATCTCAAGAACTAATCGCTGGATTGTCTTCATATTTGGTACTATGGTGTATATGGCGGGGGATATTTCGTCACTCTGTGACAAATACTTGTTAAGAACCATGCTCCATTTACCAATGTTTGAACTAAGTTCCACCAACACTGAATTTCTGAAAACCTGAACCTGTGTATGGTTTTTATATAAGCATCCCCCTTTGTAAATTTCCTAAGCAAACATGGTGTTAATTCTGTCAGTACAGTATGTGTTGATGTCTCCATGAAAATTGGACCATGTTGAATTGTGTATGTTATTGAAAGGTATTGGATTTTGTCAGGTGTGTGAGAAATGAATCTGATCCAGTGATGAAGACACATGCTCCCTCTTCTGAATCAGAGTGAGGATTAGCTTTAACAGTGTCTGAGGATCAAGTAGCTGATCAGGTCAAACTTGGTGCAAGTGCCCTGTGAAGATCCGGGTTAGAATAGGTCTTCAGCAACCCATGCTTGTCGACTAACGGGATCGGCTCATTGACTTCTTGATGCATGTCATCGACTTATCGTATCCCAATTGTGTGGATCGATGCTCTTGATGTCAATCACTGGATTGTCAAGTCCAGACTCCATTATTTACAGACCGCCATCATATAGCTGGAATATTGCTGAGTGGCGTTAAACAAAAAACAAACAATCTATATCCCATTTTCAACCATGATCAATCTGTTTGACACAGACTGTGGTATTAATGTGTTTGATGGCATCCTTATGTTTACAATATGAAGACACACTAACTCAGCACCATTCCAAAGCCACCATTGCTCTGTGGTGATGAATCATACTTACACGCCGACTTGTGATGGTCATAGTGAGAAGATTAAATATCCCGCATGAGATTTGACATACAGAATGTTTGTTCATTAGCAGTCAAATGTAGTTAGTTTGACCTCAGAAAATTGTCCACAAGTCAACGTTTGAAAATGTGGCTTCCCAACTATGCATCTGTTGCAACAAAGCAGATGAGTAGCATAGTGGTTAAGCATTGGCTGGTCACGTAAAAGGTCTGGGTTACATTCTCCTCATGGATACAATGTGTGAATGTCAGTTTTGGTGTCCCCAAATGTGATATGATGCAAATATTGCTAAAAGCTTCATAAGACCATACTGTCACTAATCTGGAAGAAGGGGGCACGGGTGGCCCAGTCGTCGCAATTCGCTGTGCAGAGTTGCGTCCCTTGGGCATGCCAGAAACCTATGATTGTGGGTTCGAATCCCGGTTCGCCCTGATTATGTTTCTAGGTTTGTCAGCACCATACCCGTGCTCATGGGTTTCACTGAAGTGGTAAATGTCTGAGACCTGCATTGCTTCGGGCTTTCCTCCCACATTAAGCTGACACGCTGTGATATAACTGGAATACTGTTAAAAGCGGTGTTAAACCCAACTCACTCCCTCTGCATCTGTTGCAACAGGCAGTTGGGTGGCCTTGTGGTTAAAGCATTTGCTGGTCACGACAAAAGCCTAGGTTTGATTCCCATCATGGGTACAATGTGTGAATGTTATTTTTGGTGTCCCAAATGTGATTTGATATGCAAATATTGCTAAAAGCATAAGACCATACTGCCTCTATACTGTTAGAACAGCATGATTTTTGTTAATGGTGTTTTCTGTCAACCCATTTCTTCAGTACCTTTTCATAAGCTTTTCTGCTTCAGGTTGATGACAGCAAGAAGCTGGGCGAGTGGGCCGGCCTATGTAAGATAGACAAGGAAGGCAAGGCCAGGAAAGTTGTAGGTTGCAGTTGTGTTGTCGTCAAGGACTACGGAAAGGAGTCCCAGGCCTTGGATGTCCTCAATGAATATTTCAAGACCAAAAAGTAAACATGTAAAGAGCTGACAATAAATGCAGTGAAGTAAATGTTGGTTGTTTGTTTTGTTCTGAAATCACAAATCACCAGATAAACAGAAGTCCGAAGGACTCCTTGCTTGTATGAGTTGTCACAGGGGCCTGCTTCCTTTGGGACCTGGTTAAAATTATCACTCTTGCTGTGGCTAAAAAAAATAATAGCCTTGGTTCTCAGGCACCAGCTGCATCATCATAATGTCTGCTGCACGTTTCGTTTTTATTTCTATTTTCATACAAAGTAAAAAAAATAAATAATACTTTAAAAAATGTGTTCCAGTATAGCATGCAATTTCTTCCCTTTTCATACTCAATGTTCATGGGCTTGTTTATGAACACCACCTGTTAATTTGGTTACATACTAGGTTGAACAAGCAGCAACAAAAACAAACTACAGCCCACACTATATTTTCAAAAGTCCTTGCCTGAGAACCAATTCTTTTTCTTTCTTTTTTTAAGTCTTTAGTACAAGGCCAGGCTCCGAGACATGGCTTTATTGGGGGTCTTTTACCCTGTCTGCTTAATCAACTACTGATTTGTCTGTCCCCAACTGAATTATTTACAGGCCACCAGGATATTGCAGAAATCAGCAAATAACAAACAAAATTTGCCAGGCTGTCATCAGGGTCCACAGACTTCAGTAGCTGCAGGCCTTGGCTTAACTCTTCAGGCCCTCCATATACATTCAAAGTTTAATGAAACCTAATATCCTTTAGATTTAAGACAAAGAATACAAATGAAATTCGGTAACATTTTACTCAATACTTTGACTTTGACTGTGCTTGTAAGAAGCGACTAAGGGGATCGGTGACTGTTGCTTGCCATCATCCCAATTGTGTAGTAGATAAATGCTCATATGTCAGTTGGATTGTCTGGTCCAGACTATTATTTAAAGATGGCTGTCCTGTAGCTGTATTGTTGCCGAGTGCCGCGTTAAATGACAAGTATAATGTACGAAATGTCCGTTAATTAATTTCACTGTCTGAGATGACTGGTCACTCTCTGCAGGTGAAGACCGCCTCTGTGGTCTAGTGGTAGAGCGGAAGGTCCGGGGTTCCCTCCCCGACCTCGTCATACCAAAAGACGTTAAAAGATGGTACTTGTTGTTACCCTGTCTGGCGCTCGGCATAAAGGGGCTAAAACAAGGAGAAGTTGGCTCGGAGTCAGTATACTGGGTCTGAATGGGGTATTCATGTTTAACTGCGGCATGGTATCTCAGTGAGCTAGCACTATAAATCGGCATCAGTCCGGACTAGTACAAGCAGCCACACAAACACACACACGTACATGCACCTCGCTATATAAGTGCAATAATCTTGGACGCGACGTTAAACCCCATTTCATATTACCTCTCTGCAGGTGAGACGGACACCCTCAAGTGGGTAGAAGAACGAACAAGGAATCATTTAGATGACTGCAGTATGTTGTGACAAGTACACGTAAATTTACTGCAGGACATATGGACTCGTACAAATTTGAAACGACAGGCAGGGGCTTATTGAAAACTTCTTTGTCCGTTTGCTACAAAATCGTACCGATAAAATGCAAAATAAATATATACCCGAAAGCAACAATTCGCCTTAAATGGCATGAAAGTTATTTATTTGTCCATACCAACTGGTCACCATATTTCAGACATTGTCAAGAAGGGGTGCCTTGTGGTTAAAGCGTTCGCTCGTCACGCCGAAGACCCGGGTTCGATACCCGACATGGGTAAAATGTGTGAAGCCCATTTCTGGTGTCCCCCGCCGTGGTATTGCTGGAATATTGCTAAAAGCGGCGTAAAACCATATTCACTCACTCACTCAGACATTGTCATGAAGGGGAGATTAGTTGTTTAAACAAACTGTGTAATTGGTGTTTTTATGCATGCTGTTACAAGGGGGTCTGCACTGTAAGCTGAATAGCTCTACATTGGCACGTGTCCGGCCAACCAACTACTGTCTTTTCTGTTATAAAATCCTGTCAAATGAATAGTCTGATTCAGTTTTGAGACTATCCCTGTTGTCCGCGATGCCCTTTAGCTGCTATGTTTATTGAGCAGACCCCCTTGTAACAACAAACATTAAGCCACCAACAATTACATGATAGTTTGTTAAACAACATTTTCACACTTCATGACAATGTCTGAAATTATGGTGACGAGTTAGTATGGGCAAATAAATAACTATCATGCCATTAAAGACGAATTGTTGTTTTCGTATTTATATCTATTTGGCATTTCAGGACAAACACACATTCCACATGCATCTAAGCGACACAACACTGAACACCTTGTCTCCTACATTACATGAGAAAATACCTGGTTGTTACGCAGTGGAAGGCGACGATCACGTGTCTGCCTTCTGCGCAAACTCCACATGAAATTATAGTGAGTGAGTTTGATTTTACGCCGCTTTTAGCAATATTCCAACAATATCCCGGCGAGGGACACCAGAAGTAGGCTTCACACATTGTACCCATGTCGGGAATCGAACCCGATTCTTCGGCGTGACGAGCGAACGCTTTAACCACTAGGCTACCCGACCGCTCAAATTATACAATTATTGGGGAACTTATCGTGATTCTCTTATGACATTGGGAATTAAACGTGATTCTATAATGATGACATAGATGGGGAACTAAACGTGATTCTCATATGACATCACAAAAGAGTCACATTTAGTTCCCCATCTATGTCATCATAAGAGAATCATGTTTAGTTCCCCATCTATGTCATAATATTCGTTCATTAAACCATGGCGACATTTCGTAAATATTTCGAGTGGCGGGGACTGTAGCAGGCGACTAGTTTATCTTGGCCGGTGATGAAGCTGTAGCGTTGCCGACACATCATACGGCACTAGTTGAGTTAAGGCCTCTGCAAATGTGGAGAAACTTGGATTGTGTTGAGGCGCTAGTGGAAAAAGCGTACATAAAATCCACGCATATTGCCTTCAGGCATCCATGAACCACAGGCGTCTGTATCTAAAAATAGACGCCCTCATGCATATTCATGACCATCTCCACACGCTCGACTCCTGTGCATGAACACAACATAATATTGGTATTATGTGTGGCCTTTCGAATTGGAAATATTTAGTAGTAAAGTCCTCTAAATGATACAGTAGTATTTAAATAATCGGCAAACTGTTTTCGCTTACGCCAGTGCATCCTCGATTATCCAGTGTCATATCCATTCTATTCTGATCTACATGGACCGATGGCGGCGTAGTTACTGTGCAGAGCCCGTATGTTGGGGTAGGTTTTGAAATAACGACCGGATCAGCTACATGTTTTCCTGTTAGATTTGACACCCGTGAAGATCCTGGTTAGAACAGGTCTTCAGCAACCCATGCTTGCCGTAAAAGGCGATTCATGGGATCGGGTGGTCAGGATCGGAGACTTTGTCGTATCCCCATTGCGTGGATCGATGCTCATGGTGCCAATCACTGGATTGTCTGGTCCAGACTCAATTATTTACATCTAGCCGTCATATATTTGGTATACTGCTGAGCGCGGTGTTTAACAACAAACAAACAATATAACAATATTAAATTTATACGGTTACCAAAGAAATATAAGCAGGTGAAGCCGAAGGTGCAAAGCTGTTTTAGTACTAAAACTGTCTAAAAGTTATGGAAGTGAAATGTTTTCGAAGATATGTCTATTCTCCAAGCTGCCTTAGCTGTCTTAAATTTCACGAGGAAAGCCCTGATTTATTTTCCCTCCAGCATATGCTAACATGGTGACATTCAACAGGGGATAGCTTAAGTTTATAGAATATCACAAGGAAATGAAACATGAATATATTCAGGGTATTTACAAAGTCCTATTTTTAGTTTTGGGTGTGAGTTTCAAGGATGAAATAGGCTTCGGTGATTTAAAACTCGCGAACTTTGTTTAAGATTTGTTTTAGATGCTCAGAAGATATGCACACGTAACCTTATTCTGTGTTAAATACAATCAGTATCGCTACAAATATGTTATCAACTGGCATACCGTATTTCCTCTATTAGACGCCGGGCCTCTAATAGAAGCCGGGTCAAATGTTCAGTGCAAAAAAATAGAAGCTGGGCCTCTAATAGACGCCGGGTCGATCAATTGATACAATTAATTATCCCTTTTTGGGACCTAAATTACATAATGAGGACTCCCTTTCATGGTCATAGTGAAATGGGGGTATTAACAGAAGCCGGGCCTCCAATAGAAGCCGGGCCTCTAATTGACGCCGGGTCAAAGGCTTGTCCGAAATAAATAGAAGCCCGGGCGTGTAATAGAGGAAATACGGTAGTGTCCTAAAACTTTTGGCATGTCTTTATGGTTTTTCATTGGCCCCGCGTTAGCATTGTTACCGCACGCTTTTTATTTCAGACCTATTGCAAGTTAAAGTGTGCATTAAACACGAATGAAAGATCGTCGCAAAATGTGCGATCCCATATCTATTCAGCGTGAGGGAAACGAATAAGGAAACAATGAAATATAGGGAAATATGCTTTGCTATCAGTACATTTGAAAAAAGAGCATACAAATTCAACGCAATAGAATCAAATGTTGAGATGTGTTTGTGTGCATTGTGCCAAACGAGTATTTTGTAGACAAGACCGGGAACCCATGATAGTATGTAATTTTACTGTGTCTAAAACTAGGTGTTCTCTTATTCATTTCCATCACTGATATAGGTGACACTCTGGAAGGTCAAGCTCGACGGTGCCCTGGCCGGACTTGTACATAGGTGTTACATTCGTCACCACTCGCCCCTTTCCGTAACCTGCAAGAAGACTCGTCCCCCTATCGATGAATGTTATGTGCGAAAATACGACAAACCAATCAGAATGCGCGTATGATTTCAAGTTCTTCGTCAAAGAATCCCTCAGAAATACTTTTTTATTTTACATACGTCTTGCATCTAAAAATATACCCAAGACACAGTTAAATGTGTTCAGTCATACTGTATAATTCCGCATATCCCGATGTGCTTTAAATTGCATCTGAAGTATATATAATATATGGGGAAATATATGTGAACCATTACACAACGGGTAGACAACTGTTTTAGGTATGCCCGTTTGCGCTAAGACGGAACCCGGTCGCAAAAATGGCCACGAGAGGGGCACGAGTCGCTATTCGGCTTGTCCCGGAATAACACGAGTTGGTCACGAATGATAGGTGTTAATCCTAGCTTACATTTGCCTTGTCGGGGCCTGGCTAAACCTTTCAAGGTGCTACTGACGTTCACCCCTCGCTCTCCCTCGCATTTGCCGTCTCTATCTCAACATTAATGACCTCTTTCAACTTTAGTATGTGGGCCCCAAAAAATAAATTTACCGCATTTCTTGTGAACAGTGACGCCAAAGTCAACATACATTTTAGTATTATGTAGGGTATACACTCAATATACCACGACTTTGCCATACTTTATTTCCGTGCCGGCAGTGTTAGAAATTACCCAGGGGTCCTTGAGGTGGGCGTCTGTATTAAATGTTTGGACCCCCTATACTGTATTTAACATGACAAGCACCCTGTGACTTTTATGGGTAATTTCAAACTGTGGCCAACTCCCATTAAGTGGCTAAAGGTGTAGGGTCAGACGTCCATGTGTATGCTGGGGATTGAGAGAAATATGTCGTCACACACTGTAGTTTTCATGTTTATGTATCGGGTGAGACGTTGGATAGGAGTTGGAATCCCCTATGCAAGCAAGATATACCCGTGTATCTGGCCCGGTTCTGTAATGCGTAAGAAATATTTCCACCCGTAATCCCTGCTTTAAATTGTGCCTGGGTTAGGACAACCTAACCCTTACACTACATAAATGATTTCTAATACTTCTAGCCAGGGCCTATGGTTTTCTATCAAATTTGAGGCAGTTGTTACGGGTGGACGTCTACAAATGCTTGTCAAGGGCTGATCCGGCATTTTTAAAAGGGAGGGATCCAAAGTATCAAAATCCTCTCTCGGTCAATATTACTTCCAACATACTACATTGGTGGTGGTGGGGGGGGGGATCCGTCATAAAGCTGGAATATTGCTGAGTGCGGCGTTAAACAGCAAACAACCAAATCATATCATATCTGTGAATCACAAACAAACAAACAAACAAATAAATAATATCATATCCGTGAATCACCTGTCTCACAACAGAAGTTGCACCTGCTCAGGTATTGATGTGCAGTTGCATAGGTGTTCAACCAGTTATAACGTGAAAGTTTATTCGTCTCAGCCTGTTTGTAAAATCGTTACTAGCGATTACGTTAGCGTTACGTGCAAAAGCGTACGCCGAAGTGTACAATGCAAGGTTAGCAACTATTTCGTGTTTCCTCTTCGCTTGTCTGAAGAGGATGAGAGGTCAGGGCTGAAGCACGTATAGGGGCATGCCGCTAGTTGAGGTCGTTATGCTTGCTGAAGAAGTCGCGTACACTGTACGTATTTATACATTCCGGTATCAAGAATGTAACCTGCATTTTGTCAGCTATATTTATAGGTGTTTGTAACCGATCCAATATCAACGGAACTAGGGTTGTGAGATTTATCCAGCCATCATCCGTGTGCACACCTTCAGACTAAGGCGGTGGGTAGTGGATACCATCAGACTAAGGCGGTGGGTAGTGAATACCATCAGACTAAGGCGGTGGGTAGTGGATACCATCAGACTAAGGCGGTGGGTAGTGGATACCATCAGACTAAGGCGGTGGGTAGTGGATACCATCAGACTAAGGTGGCGGGTAGTGAATACCATCAGACTAAGGCGGTGGGTAGTGAATACCATCAGACTAAGGTGGCAGGTAGTGGATACCATCAGACTAAGGCGGTGGGTAGTGGATACCATCAGTCTAAGGCGGTGGGTAGTGGATACCATCAGACTAAGGTGGTGGGTAGTGGATACCATCAGACTTAGGCGGTGGGTAGTGAATACCATCAGATTAAGGCGGTGGGTAGTGGATACTATCAGACTAAGGCGGTGGGTAGTGGATACCATCAGACTAAGGTGGCAGGTAGTGAATACCATCAGACTAAGGCGGTGGGTAGTGGATACCATCAGACTAAGGTGGCGTGTAGTGGATACCATCAGACTAAGGTGGCAGGTAGTGAATACCATCAGATTAAGGCGGTGGGTAGTGGATACCATCAGACTAAGGCGGTGGGTAGTGAATACCATCAGACTAAGGCGGTGGGTAGTGGATACCATCAGACTAAGGCGGTGGGTAGGGGATACCATCAGACTAAGGTGGTGGGTAGTGGATACCATCAGACTAAGGCGGTGGGTAGTGGATACCATCAGACTAAGGTGGCGGGTAGTGAATACCATCAAACTATGGTGGAGGGTAGTGGATACCATCAGACTAAGGTGGCGGGTAGTGAATACCATCAAACTATGGTGGAGGGTAGTGGATACCATCAGACTAAGGTGGCGGGTAGTGAATACCATCAAACTATGGTGGAGGGTAGTGGATGCCATCAGACTAAGGTGGCGGGTAGTGGATACCATCAGACTAAGGTGGCGGGTAGTGGATACCATCAAACTAAGGTGGCGGGTAGTGAATACCATCAAACTATGGTGGAGGGTAGTGGATACCATCAGACTAAGGTGGCGGGTAGTGAATACCATCAAACTATGGTGGAGGGTAGTGGATACCATCAGACTAAGGTGGCGGGTAGTGAATACCATCAAACTATGGTGGTGGGTAGTGGATACCATCAGACTAAGGTGGTGGGTAGTGGATACCATCAGACTAAGGTGGCGGGTAGTGGATACCATCAGACTAAGGTGGCGGGTAGTGAATACCATCAAACTATGGTGGAGGGTAGTGGATACCATCAGACTAAGGTGGCGGGTAGTGAATACCATCAAACTATGGTGGAGGGTAGTGGATACCATCAGACTAAGGTGGCGGGTAGTGAATACCATCAAACTATGGTGGTGGGTAGTGAATACCATCAGACTAAGGCGGCGGGTAGTGAATACCATCAAACTATGGTGGAGGGTAGTGGATGCCATCAGACTAAGGTGGCGGGTAGTGAATACCATCAAACTATGGTGGAGGGTAGTGAATACCATCAGACTAAGGCGGCGGGTAGTGAATACCATCAAACTATGGTGGAGGGTAGTGGATGCCATCAGACTAAGGTGGCGGGTAGTGAATACCATCAAACTATGGTGGAGGGTAGTGGATACCATCAGACTAAGGTGGCGGGTAGTGAATACCATCAAACTATGGTGGTGGGTAGTGGATACCATCAGACTAAGGTGGCGGGTAGTGGATACCATCAGACTAAGGTGGCGGGTAGTGAATACCATCAAACTATGGTGGAGGGTAGTGAATACCATCAGACTAAGGCGGCGGGTAGTGAATACCATCAAACTATGGTGGAGGGTAGTGGATGCCATCAGACTAAGGTGGCGGGTAGTGAATACCATCAAACTATGGTGGAGGGTAGTGGATGCCATCAGTCTAAGGCGGCGAGGTGTGGACACCACTTATGGCATCCAGTGGACAATAAGCCACCTCGATAAATACCCGTACCAAAATAGAAAGCCTTACATAGGTATCCACTGGTCCATCCCACATATGACGTCATAAATCGCAATAACATTCCATAACCCCTCTCCAAAGTTCAACCCAAACCCTCCCCGTATGACATGGTGCACGTCAGGTCGTCATTATGCCAGCTGTTATATAACGGGTACACATTATACCAGCTGTTATACAACGGGAGCTCCTACACGACGTACTAAAACACACGATACATCACAACGCCTCGAGGGATTGGCCAGATGACCGGTGTATTGTAACCAACCTAATCCCCAGTCACCACACTGTATATGCATGAGTGAGACCTCAACCCAGGTCCATGCAAGACGGGTACAATGTAAATATTGTTCTCAGTATCCCCTATCGGGCTATACCCAATCGAGGACGACCGAACCTCGATATAACGCCAAATTATGACATATCTGCTCATTTAATATTGATCTAAAATTATAGCCATCTAGTTTATGAAATTTGTACAAATATATTGGACGCCTGAATTCTTTTGTTTAGCTTACGAAATGTGTTATTCGTAGGTTGCCTTATTTCGGGATTACCGTTACGTGATAGGACTCTACCCAAATTAGACCAGTAGCTCACTCCAACTAAAATATCGATTGATAGATTAAGAATATCTGATTGGGTAGACTTCGTTGCTCAAAACAAGATGTATGTCACGGAATGGCTATAGGCAGAACAGAAGTAAAAAATTAACACAGTTAATTTCTTTCTCATGACAACATTGAAAGGGACAGTGCGAGTATAGACTATTACACCTGCCTCACAACAGGTAAGCACTGTTTGATAATCTTCCAGCTTTTATGTTAAACGTTTACAGACGCTCGTAGATGTCAAATGTGTGTCTTGGGCATACAAAAGTCTCAAAGGCGCATTTATGTGTTTGTATTATGTCAGTATGAATACATGTGGTAGGTGTGCGAAGGGGGTATTTATGTCTTACAAATTCTTCGACGCAGGTCGACGTCAACTGGCATGGCTACAAACAAACAGAGGGGCCCTTTTGGGGTTGTACACACTGATGGTAGTTTTCTTGGCCCTTTGACTCGATGACGCTCAGAAATGTGAAGGTCGTGCACAAGAGCGATTCGTTATACATGTACTAAACGATAGGTTCTTGTAATACATAATGTAAACCATATATAATCAACGTGTGATCAAGATAACTAGCATACTAGTTTATAGTTCTTTACTCTAATAACACATGTCAACACATATGTATGTGGTAATATACATGGAAACGTTTAGACGTTCAACTATCTAAACATTACTAGCTTTTATATATAGAGGTCATGTTTCTAAACACTTCTTTTCCCAGTGTGAATAATCATCTGATGATTTACACAAAATATAACCCCTACAAGGCCCCACAGAGTGTCAGACCTGGGGTGCACTGACGATGTCCGGTATTTGAACTGGATGCGCTCCGGTTGATAATTGTGAAAGGAAGTTACGGATGTTAACTACACGTTGAGCTTGACTGTCACAAACGCGACTGAAGAGATTAATTCAGCGTGTGCAGTTATTATTACGAATAGAAATGGGACGCACACACGGAGACTCATTATGTCGGAATGCGATGTATTATTACGAGGGGAAGCATTGACAAGAATGCAACATGGTTTATAGACACGCTAGAGTCGTTACTAAGCCGGTTCCGCCCACACAACATACACATGTATCATTATCAAGTTTTATCTTCAATTTGGAAATTGATTTTTCATATTGATAAAATAGAGTGGAGGTTTTGAATTCACTAATTAAGGTTTACTATTGATTGTACATATATCCCTTTAGCCATTAAATCATTGCACCGATTAATCGATCTTAGTGCTGCGAGTACTGTTGACTCTATTTTAAAGTATGGGAGTTACGATAATGATTTGGTCTGCTAGCCACGGTTTAATGTCAACTATTTTAAGAAAACGTACAACTTTATGGATAACATTTGTTTTGTTTTGGTTTGTTTGTTGTTTAACGCCGCACTCAGCAATATTCCAGCTATATGACGGCGGTCTGTAAATAATCGAGTCTGGACAAGACAATCCAGTGATTAATATCATGACATCGATCCACGCAATTTGGATCGATGACATGCATCGACCAAGTCAGCGAGCCGATCCTGACCACCCGATCCCGTTAGTCGCCTCTAACGACAGGCATAGTCGCCTGTTACGGCAAGCATGGGTTGCTGAAGACCTATTCTACCCGGATCTTCACGGGTCGGCTCGGTATCAGTGCATTGTTCGTAGTGGGGTATTCGTCATAAAACTGCAGCACATACGGCAAAACAAAAGATTGATATCCACTTCTTGAAGTGTGTGTGTTAGGTCTGGTCTCTCTGTCATGATAAGTCACTGGAACAATCTTATTTGAGTTTTAAAAAGAACGTTTTTGTGCGTTTGAATAAGCGCGATCCTTTTTTGACAATGAGCATTACATAACAACAACTTACGAAACTCGTGTAACAATTCATCTGTTAACCTAGCTCTCCCTCGGGAAATAAAAGAATTCTGACACTCGTTTCGCAAGTTCAGTATGACACACATGCTCGTATAAAAATCTCTGATCACTACTGACAATGCTCGAAGCCACAGACCCACGTGATGTAAAATAATAATACTGTGACGTCACAATAGATTGGCCGTGACAAGACAGGATTATTTCGTGACTCTTCACTTACATAATCAGTAGTGAACCAAATCAGGCACATACCGCCACGGCCAAAGGTCTGTATATCATTGACAAGGTTTTACCGAATGCACTATGGTTAAAACGAGTTTGCGTAAGGAACAAAAGTCTGGCAAGCGGTTAAAACACGCAAGTTCTGCATGAAAAGTACTTCTTCGAAATTCTATGAACTACTTTGTTATGAAGGAGTGGAGTAAAGCCACTCACTAACTCAATTACGAAATATTGTTCATATTTCAGACAATGGACATTCCGACAGATTACAGCTGAACCAACGACAGCTTTTCTGTTACGAGAACAAGAATGGGGGACGCAAAGACCCGTTATGAAATGTCCCGAGCCTTAATGAATCATCTTGCACCCATTAGGGAGGAGTCTTTTCTCTCATCCTCCTCGGGAGGATCCCCCAGAAATGTACAGCGAGTCCGTGTCAACAACCGGCCAATTCTTATCCAGACTCTACCACCAGATCCAAGAAGAGCCCCTACACAAAAACCGAGATCCGAACCGCAGTCCCGGAAGCCTGTGAGTCAGCCTGACACGTCAGTGGATCAGGTGGTGGCCGACTATCTCCATTACGCAAAATACAGCGCCGCTGTTCCCGTGAAAACAGAATCATGGGACAGCAACGAAACTTTGTATTGTTCTTGCTGCAGTGATCGTAACAGAGAAAATATACGACGCAAACGCGGCCTGCCTCCAGAAAAGCCTGCACGAAAGACTGAACAGCATTCTCCCCCTGAAGCAGACCATGGAGAAAGGTCAAGGTCGTTACGTCCGACTATTCCTCCAAATCAAAGCTGGATGAGTTACCAACCCCTGCCATATGCTCAAACATACCTCAATCCAGAATTCAACCGACCTGCTCTAGTTCAGGAGTATCTTCAGAGCAGCAAGGGAGATGACGAGAGAGCCAAAGTCAGGGTTCAGATTATGGAATCCAACACAAAGTTTGATCAAGCTATGAAAAAGCTGCGTTTCACAACACAGAAACTTGATCCTGACTTTGATGAGACCAAATTTTCATTTTCATGATCAGCATGATCTCAAAAACACTATCATCCACTGATTGTAAATAAATCATAAAGTAAGTTTTTGCCTAAAATAATAAATTTTATGATAAATTTGATTTGCGGGCAATTCTATATGTTTGTATTTTCAAAGAAGCGTGTTTTAATAGGTTTGATTAATTGTCGAGTTCAAACATCTCGGGAAATGACAAACTTAAAGGGCTCCTCAGAACCACTTTTTTATATCATTTCCTTATAACAATGTTGCTTACTAATCCTTGGAATAAAAGTTTGGTTCACTATAGCCAGTATTCATATACAATTTGATAATGTTCAGAGTGGAGGGAGTTGGGGTTAATGCTGTTTTGAACAGTATTCCAGATATACCTGTTTCATCTTGGTGTAGGAGGAAAGCCCAAAATGATGTTCAGACATGAATATGAATGTTTGTAGGCAAAAGTTCTAACATTCCCAATTTTTCACAAATTATCTACAAATGTGTAGTGTGTACACTATGTATATGTCCTTATAGGTATACATGATGATCCGCTGTGATGTTGTCCTGGACATTTTATTTTGCCTTCTTCTTATCTGTGATATTTTGTGATATTAAATAATAGTTAAACCTTAATGAAGTTGGTTTTGTTTCCATTCCCCAAAAGATCTTCAGAGACAGCATTCTGACATAAGGAGCCAGATTGCATCCCCTCCCTTCAAGTCTAAGTATGCCAGACTGACAAGCACTGCAACTGCAACGTACTAAATGATGTCCGATCATGTTGAACTTAGATAAGACAAACATGGAAGCATTTTGTTAAGCAAAATTTTATTCAGTAAATATAAAATGGTAATATATGGAATACCATATGATGTGCAACAATGTTTTGTTCAGAAAAAATGCATCTTGTAATCAAAGCAGTTGGTCCCTCAAAGGGTTGTACTTAAAACAAATCACAGAGCATATGCACATGATCCCGAAAACCAGTCAACAAATTGATTCAACATCAGAAAATGAAGCACTTACAGGTAATTATTACCTCAGTGTGGAAAAATTACTTCAACATGGAATGTTTGCATTAAAAACTTGACAATTTCAATTTCAACAAAAGAAACTTGAAAGATGAAGGGAATCAAATCAGGCTGAGGCACCATTCATAATTATGAATCAAATGACACTGGGAATTAAAGAATAGAGAGACCAGAATAACACTGCATAGCTTTCACTACTTCAGGCAATGATAGTTGAAATTCTCTAAAGAATATGCATTGAAATCAAGCAGGCGTGTTTTCGAAACTTTGAAATGAATTATATGAAGTTCACATTATTAAGTAAGAAAAAGTCATCCTGTTCCAGAACTGCGTAGTACTTGTTAATACGAGTATCAGAGTCCAATAGTGTTGGTAATCTTAACCTCTAGTGATATGACTTCATGATAGGTACAAACAAAGATCAGCAAGACAGAGAGAGAGAGAGAGAGAGAGAGATGTACCAACATGCAGGAGTGATTCACAAAAAATAAAGGTATAACCATATCCGGTACAGTTACCACGAAATCATCATACCCATCTAACCATGTCACCCTCAGTCATAACCTGGTATTGTCGGACTATTCTGTTCTCTAGTTACAGGGCTGGGTAGGATGACAGGCAGTCTTGAACAATTGGTACACAACAGATCTTCATGACGGATGAAGCATAGAATGAGACATGACGGAACAGAGTGTAAATGAACTAACTGGGATTAGAACGAACACAAATATATATTTCTCTGAAGAAGCAGAGAATAAAGGCTACATGTGAAATAGTCATGCGAGAACTGATTCAGTTGCAGCAACACAAGCTACATCACACCCAATATCTCTGCTTCATCAGGGGTCAGGAGTAAAGATAAAGACTACAATAGTTTTGATTGACAAAGGCAAAGTGAAAGCCTCATACATTCTATCTACGTATACAATCATAAGATAGACAAATAATCATAATATGGGGATTATGAAGTCCAGTATCTTCCTTTATGAGCTAAGGACAAAGAAGGTACACCTGTGCTTTCTATCAGTCCACTGAGGACAAGCCTAAAGTATTGTCAATGCCCCTCTTGTTTTCCGAGTGTTTTAAAAGGTGTTGTTCCAAAGGTAAATAGCACCAGAAGTTCATTCATCGTTTTCCTTTTTCCCGTATTTCAAAATCCGTGTGAACTCTATGTAGTCAAAGTTACCCCTCTTGATGGGTGCATCCCGAAACATTTCATCAACCTGGAACAAAACAGGCATTAATTAGAGCATTTTATGCATAATTATACAACCCAGCCAGCCTACAATGAAACCATTAATATGCTTTTACAACTACATCATTTTATGACAATATTATTCAATCATATCTTTATTGCAAAAGTTGACAATGTGTTTTCCTTTGGAATTTATCATCAGTTTTTGCCAATCTTGCAGAGTAAAGAGTACTAAAGCAGCACTGCATCTTCAATAATAGGTTTTACGTTGCATTCAAGATTATTGCACTTATACAGCAACATGCATTTACATGTGTCTTGTGTGGCTGCTTGTACTAGTCCGGACTAATGCTGATTTTATAGTGCTAGCCCAATGAGACACCATGTCACAGTTTAACATGGATATCTCACTAAGCCACAGTATATGGACTCCCGTTTTTATGTCCTTAATACTTAAGGCCAGGCAGTGTAACAGCAAGTACCATCTTTTAAAGTCTTTTAATCAACTTCCCCAAAGAAGAGGTTTCTTCAGTAATGAGTCTACATCCCTAGCAAAAATGAAATAGATTCCAAAGAAGCAGTCTTACAAGTAGATAACATTGCTTACATTGTCACTAGCACTTTTTGTTAGCACCAATCCCTATCGAACTTGATGTTTAGTTTGCAACAGGCACAGGATCCTATGGATCTATTCCGCTGTGGAATCCTATCTAACAGTCGTATTGTATCTAATCTGGAGAGACATAAAGCGACTATCATGCAAGCATGTTCATGAAGGATCTGCCACACATACTTACATCTTCATCATTAAACCTATCCCCCATGGTGGTCAACAGCTCCCTTAACCTCTCCTCCGGAATGAGACCTGCAACAGACAAGATGAGTGAGTGAGTGAGTGAGTGAGTGAGTGAGTGAGTGAGTGAGTGAGTGAGTGAGTGAGTGAGTGAGTGAGTGAGTGAGTGAGTGAGTGAGTGAGTGAGTTGAGTGAGTGAGTGAGTGAGTGAGTGATATCACGGCTGGGATACCAGAAATGGGCTTCACACATTGCACCCATGTCGGGAATCGAACCTGGGTCTTCGGCATGATGAGCAAACGCTTTAACCACAAGGCTACCCGACCGACCCTAGTGAGTGAGTGAGTATGGTTTTACGCCGTTTTTAGCAATATTCCAGCAATATCACGGTGGGGATACCAGAAATGGGCTTCACACATTGTACCCATGTCGGGAATTGAACCTGGGCCTTTCGGCGGCAAACACTTTCACCACAAGGCTACCCGACCGACCCTAGACAAGATCAAGTAATGGTGTTGTGACAGTAACATTTAAAGATGCAACAGTTTCAATGATATTCAAAGTAAAAAATGGACCTATTTGTGATGTTTGTTTGTTGTTTAACTCTTGCACTCAGCAATACTCCAGCTATATGACGGCAGTCTGTAAGTAATTAAGTCTGGACTTGACAATTCAGGGATTGACAACATGAGTTGTGATGCGGAAGTTGATAGAGAAGTCAAAGTAAAAGTTAACACGCTGATTGCCCCGACACAACTGTAAATCCACCTGATCTTCAAAACCTAGACAGAGCATACACATAAATGGTTGTTACTGGACAGCATGAAATGTAATATTACATACCTGTACTGTCCTCGTCGAAACAAGCAAATGCATTTTTTATGACATCTTCAGGGTCTGTTCCATTCAGTTTCTCTCCAAACATTGTGAGAAACATTGTGAAGTTAATTGGTCCAGGAGCAGCATTCATCATTTCATCAAGGTAAGCTTCTGTTGGACTTTTACCTGAAACAAACATAAAAAGAAAATATGAGTATCTCTCCATATTGAAATTTCAACCGTCATTATATGCAGATTTGATGTCTTGGCCCAAAATGAGTGAGTTAAGATTTAACGGCAATATTTTAGCCATATTGTCATTATCGTGACGTAGACCAACATGAATCGTAGTAAATACACATTACAAGATGAAAGCATTATAGAGAATGACATTCAAATACATTTTTCAGATACAGTACCCGAGTACCTGATTGGTACAAACGTATTTTACATCACCAGGAAGACAGTTTGCAGATACATTGAAGCTCTTAACAATTTAAGACATAAAAAAGTCATAAAACTGGTATGATATCTTGGTTTGTGGATGTATATCAGAGCAATAAATAAGCTTTTGGTTACTTGGTTATTTTACCTAGGTGGGTTGATACGGAATCAACAAGCTTCAGAGGGTATTCAAATTTTTTTACCCACCTGTTTCTGGACATTAACTTAAACAAACTTAAAACCTGTTTCGTAACATTCCCTGTAAACCATTTAAACATTGTGAACAGCAGTATACCCGTCTGCGTCTGCTTGCAGTTCCCTCTCAGGGAAGCCATTTTTTCTTTGCAAAACCTAGCACTGTAAGAAAGGCGCTATTGTTTCAATTACCAATCAGTGACTAATTAAGATACAACATGTACATTGACTAGGCACAATGTGCTTTTCAATTGGCATCATTTTTCTGAAAATAACTGTTGGTAAGTGAATTTGGCGATTGGCTGATACACAGTCATATTATCTAACAGTTGTAATATACACAATCTTTTTATCTAATAGTTGTAATAAACGCATTAATATTATTTCAAAAGTGTATTTATAGTTTTGTCGCATATTTGATACACTAGGATTTGATTTGTCTGCCTCTTTCATTTGTTTTAATGCATATTTTACGCAAATACACAGCTCATCTCCAGCTCTGTATATATTTGGTTTTACTGCAACCTATGTTATTGTTAAAATGTACTGTTATATACAAGTCTCTGCTGTCTGATTACTCCCTTTGTAAAAAGTGGACTGATCCCGTTTTGCCACAGATAAGGACAGGACAATTGCCTTAGTGTTGAAATGATGTGCGGCCAACCATGAAAGGCCCAGATTAATTCCATTGTATATCTGTCCACCAAGATATATCATTTCTCAGCAGGCCCAGTGAGTAATGCATTTTAATTAATTATCCTTGTATCGCAATAGAAACAAGTAAGACATAAATCTTCAAACTTGACATGACATATACATGACACAGAAGCAAACTAAATCAGATAATGTTTGTTTGTTTGTTGATTAATGCCTCACTCAGCAATATTCCAGCTATATGACTGAGAAAAATCAGATATTAAAATAGGTGAAATATTTAGGCTGCAAAATGGGTGACCCGCCATTATTCATAGTGATTCTCTGAAGAACTACTTGTATTAGTATTCAAAACAGTCCAAAGAAGCCATATGTTTAAGAAGATGATGTGCTGGAAAAAATGTCGCCTGTAGCCCCAACTCAACATAATGATTTCTTGGTAGGAGAGCCGGCTGTACAAAATAACCTTTGAACCTACAAGCCAAATCTTGGCGACACATCATTTTCTACAGATTTTGATGCCATGATTAGACTTTTACAAGCTGAGATTACTATTATGATCAGAATTTTACTAGAATTAGGTTTCGGACTAGTGGCAAGAAAGATTGTTGGGATATATAAGCAATGGTTACACATTTTGTTACGGTACAGTAAATCAGTGATCAGGGTTAGAACTTAACACTAGCCCGGCACCAGTACCCATTCCTGTGGGTAGAGTGTGGGCTCGTACAAACTTTCCAATTTTCCCATTGTTTTAAGATTACAAGGGCATTTGATCTTTACATGGACTAGTAAAGCTTTTATGTTCAGTTTTAACTCTGTGCATCCATCACATAGGCTAATAATAGCCAGAAACAGTCATAATGAATATTGGTGTTCTTGCACTAATTTCCACAACAAAGAATACACAAAACAATGAAACATTTGCATTTTTTAAAAAAGACAGACATAATGAACAGATTTTTTTTAAATTCATCAAGCTGCTGATTGCAAAGGCTTCTCAAAATAAAGGTGGCTATTTTATCAAATTTAATCATGAAGAAAGATTCACCATTTTTCAGAAAAGACCACTACATTCATATTTTTACATTAAATACTGATTTGACTTCCAACATATCCAAACAGAAAATAACCATATAAAAAAATCATTATTTACCCATTGATGCAAGCATATCGTGTAAATCTTCCTTGTCAATAAAACCATCTCGGTTTTGGTCGATCATATTAAAAGCTTCTTTGAACTCCTGGATCTGGGCTTGGTCAAACATAGCAAAGACATTGGAAGTGGCGCGCTGGGCCCTTTTCTTGGTGGTCTTGGCCTTGGTCTTTCTGCTCGACATTTTGGGTGATTAGCTGACACACGACTACGAAATGAAATATCTGTAAGAAAAAAAATTGAAATTTATATTCTTATCATTTATCTGTTCTTTACAGATTCTGCTTTCTGTAAACAAGAAACACAAGACTTTAAATCTTAAGTTTCTCACTAATAAGACAGGAAAGATATCAACTGTAGATTCAGTTCATAAACTACTTTCAATTGAATGAATGACAGTTGACATAATTCTTACTTGCAGGACATACAGGTATTATAAGTACTTCAAAATTTGGGGGATTATCACTTTCCGTTTCATATATATTTACATATATTTTGAGATTTTTAGTCCATAACATGGTATAAACATGAGATGTATAAAGGAAGAGAATTGTTTCTACCTGTGCAGCAGTTAAACCCAACGAATAATGACGTTTTCTAGAATCAATCAACTGATTTGTATGGCAGTTTAGCCAAAGGCAAAACCAATGTCAACCAATTCACACGAAGCTAGTCGTCAAACCTGACGGACCACCTGCTTTAGGCGAAGATTGCAGGTGTCAGGTTCACTACAACCAGGAAGACAGCATAGGATTGCACCTCAATTGTTCCTTAGCAAAACAGAAAATATTCTTGGAGTGTCTCCCTTATTTGGTGTAAAGTAGCGATGCTTTAAGGAACGTCACATCCGAGTGATTCATATCTCGTATTCAATGAATGACAAATATCCAGACGGAAGCTAAATTAGGTCAAAAATTCAGTCCATTTCCACGACGATAACTATGAAATATATACAATAATGAAAGCCAAGACTGCTTAAATACCAACCTAATTCAATTACTCAGCTTAAAAGAAAGATTTGCAATGTGGACGAAAGGAAATAAAGAGTAATATTAGGTTCAAGTCTCACCCACCTGCCACTAGCCGAAACTGTTGGTCGTTGAACGGAAATCTAACTGCACATGCGCGGCGTGATGTCCTACAGAAAGCCTTCATTCGAAATGCGGTAATAACATTCCTGTATGGGATAGGTAGAATGACGTCATGACTTTTGAGCTTCTCATGTTTCACATGAAGTGTTCATTTATAGGCCTTCCTACAAAACGCAATTTATATTCACCACCGTTGATATATCTAGAATATTAGTTGAAGTGACATTCATCTATTATATTTAACCAATATGTAATTTATTTATTTATTTGTCTGTTTGTGAGTTTAAGATAAATACTACAGTACACATATCACATTAACACGTTATTCATTTGCTGGATATTGTTAAGATAAAATTAATTTCCGTGTTTTAATCTTCATCGCAGCAGGAAGCTATGAGCAATATAGAAAATAGAAGCGTTCGTACAATAACCTATTTGCTGAAAATATTTGGGGCGCATTGACCCATTCGGAACTGAGGCACAATGACACAACCATTGAGCCTGACCGATCGATCCCCATTTGAGGCGGCTCTAATTACAAGCATGAGGTACTGGCATGGCATAATTTTGAACAGGAATCTCGACAGATTTATGATTTGATTGAATCTGGCCCTTTTTCTACCGACGCTGGACTAAGAGTATCTAAGAACCAAAGAAGCTAGATAGTCGCTGACAATACGAATACTTCGTTTATTGTAGTCCGCTGCCAAATCTGCTGTAACCCATACAAATGCTACTCCATTTTGCTACATCTTCTCAAGGACACACAATTATTATGTCAATGACGTACCAGCTGATTTCCCCCGCAACACTCTCAACAATCTTGTTACACAAACTGCAAAGTCAGATCTCCCTCAGGACACCAATGAAACATGTACGATTGTGAGCGTGTGTGTTGTTTTTTTTGTCAATGAGTCTTTGAATTATACTATATTTAAAGATGTTCTACTATTTAATGAATCCCTTTTTAAACTCTCTCTCTCTCCCTCCCCCTCTCTCACTCTCTCTCTCTCTCTCTCTCTCTCTCTCACTCACTCAAAGCCGTCTGTGCCATTCATCGGGGAGTGGCAACGCCCAAATGCTCCCAGTCTCCCAGAACTAAACTGCTTCCACTGTTGTTGCCTACCGTAAGTTTAGCGCTTTTAATCGATGAATATCACTACATTAAAACTAACATAAAAATAACATCACTAATCTCTCAGCCACTGAAGCTGGTTAGCACCCATGACACTGAGTCATTACTGGTTGCAAATTGAAAAGGTTGGAAAAATGATTTGGGATGACAAATAGAATCTCACCCAAGTGTCTTTTGATCAGTTACATTCATAATTCTCCTTCGAGCTTGCGGTCAATTTCTACATGTTAAACCATTTTTGGTTCTATGTTAGGAGTAAATACAGGGTGTAGGATCTATCACCTAGAAGATTAGAAAAAAACATGATTACAATCCTCCCCAAAGACCATGTCTCTATTGGTACGACGCTGCCAAATGCGTGTCCATGTGTGTAAAGGGGTGGTGGGGTAGTCTAGTGGTTAAAGCGTTCGCTCGCCACGCCGAAGACCCGGGTTCGATTCCTCACATGAGTACAATGAGTGAAGCTCATTTCTGGTGTCCCTCACCGTGATTGCTGGAGTATTGCTAAATGCGGCATAAAACCATACTCACTCACTCCATATGTGTACATTAACCTGAGACCCGTGAAGATCCGTGGTAGAATAGGTGCTTGCCGTAAAAGGCGACCATGCTTGTCGTTATAGGCGACTAACGGAATCGGGTGGTCAGGCTCGCTGACTTGGTTGATGCATGTCATTGTATCTCATTTGCGTGGATCGATGCTCATGATGTCAATCACTGGATTGCCTGATTCGATTATTTACTGAGTGTCGTCATACAGCTGGAATATTGCTGAGTGCGGCGTTAAACAACAAACACACAAAACATTAACCTGACCAATGGAGCAAACGTGTCACGGTGTATAGGTCATACCTCTTGGAAATCACACAATTATTTTAATGGACCTTAAATGGCTGTAATATATTCAATAATGATGTGTAAATATACTGTATTCGTGAATAAAGATATGATTGTGTATGAATTACAACTTTTATTTCGTTAATGAGTTTCCGTGTGAAAGAGATGACTATATACTCTTTCTTTGAGAATGACCCACACTTGACTAATATAGTTATATATGTCCACACATTATTTAATTATTCAATAACCAGCGTTCACGTTTTATTCTTCTGTACTGATATCAACTTGACGGATATCTTTAAATGTGAGATGTTAATTTGCTCCGGGGAAAAAGAAGAGTTTGACAGCTACTTCTTAAAGGCTGGCTATTATACCGTGCATGTATGGCTTTCGTCCTAACTTATAAATACATGCTATTTTATGTTAACCTTACATTTTCGCCGAGCATTTATGACTCAATGCTGAAACGGATATATAAATATCTCTCAAACTATATTTTTTTTGGAAAGAGAGATTAACTCACCGTATCCGGTTTCCTCTCGAACATGAGTGTACATTGTCAGGGAATGTGTTTTTTTTCTCAATGACATTTTTCTCAATTTCGTTGTTTTTTGTCATTATTTGTTTAAACAAATCCAAAACAACCTACTTCAATTATCACAATACGTAGTGGTTAACTAATTAGGTATTTTGAAATGTTACATTAATACATGATTACAATCAATATTACATTAGTGCATGAAGCACACAGAAGCGGAAGCAGACACTTTCAAGATGGCGGCAAAACAAAGTTTGCACAAAAGCGAAATTTTGAAAACGTGAAAGAAACGATTGCCGAACGCGTGATGCACAATATTCTTCGCCCAATCTGTTCTAACCCAATGTACATTGCTACTATTTGAATTGTATTATCAAGATGAGCGGCAATTCTGTCGAAGAACGAGTCACTGATGTAATATCGGACTTGCTGGTAAGCAAAACAAATGCTTGCATTGTTTGTTTCCGGCACCGCCGTGATAGAGGTCGGAAATAACAGTACCATTTCAATATTCATCGTAACTTCGAAAACGGATTCAGTACTGGTGATAGTAGTGCTACACTAAATTGTCCTTTTTATTCTTATTTTCGTAGGGGTAATGTAGCACACGCCAGTAGTTTCATTTTGGTGTTTCCCAACTATGCTATTGCTGAAATATTGTCCAAAACACCACAATACTATTTTCATTAATCTCTAATTGTGTGGTTAAAATGTAGAAATATAATTAACAAGAAAACTATTTTTTTATCCCATGACATACACTCTTTACTTAGCCATGTGCCCACTTTCTGGTGAAAATTAACATATTTGGCCAACCACAGAATGAAAGACTTTACACCAGCAAACTTTGTACATCTAATAATCAATATAACTATTCAGAAGGGAGTTAATAAGCTGATCCACCCGTATCCCCAGCATGGGTTGGGGCAACATAACCCCAACTTTACATAAACTATTTTTTTCAATAGTCCAGCTAAGTACTATTTTAAGCACCCCCGACCAATTTCTATGCCAATCTGTAAGTAATCTTTTTAAGCACTCCCATATAATATACGATTACATATTTTCTTGAGTATATTACACTTTTGTTACAGAAAACAGCGGCACAGGAGGGGTATATAATTGCCCAGTGAAAATGGTTTTGGTTTGATCAACATTTGAACTAATAGCTTAGTCCTCTTCTGCTCATTCTGTGAAAATAAATTTAACTTGTTTATGGTTTTAGTAAACGCTTCCCTTTGTCAATTGTCTAAGCACCCAGGGCGCTTATTACAGCAAATAAGATAGTTAAATTTAAATCTGTTTGACTGTGCTGATTTTACACACATATAATGGCAATGAATGATGGTGAATATGACCACATCTGGTAGTCCTGTTCAAGTTTATATCTGTGTCATTGTTGTCAACAAATGATTTGTCTTATCCAGACTTGATTATTCCCAGTCAACCCATGAAGATCCGGGGTAGAATATTTCTTCAGCAACCCATGCCTTAAAAATCGACTATACTTGTCGTAAGAGGTGACTAATTGGATCGGGTGGTCAGGCTCACTGACTTGATTGATGCATGAAATTGGCACTAGTCCTGTTGTCCTTGCCAAACTGCCAAATAGTTAAGGTATCATAATGACTAGTAGACATTTGTCCTTTTTAAGGGTTTTGCTATTTGTTATCATTATAAGGACTAGTGGACTAAAAATGTTAGTTTCTATCGCTGCATTGTATCCCAATTGCATGGATCGATGCTCATGATGTCAATCACTGGATTGTCTGGTTCAAACTTGATTATTTACAGACCACTGTCCAATAGATGGAATATTGCTGAGTGACGTTAAACAAACAAACAAATTATTCACAGTCCACCTTGATGTGTCAGCATTATTACTGACTGATTGTAACATCATTCACTCTCAGTTTACTCACTCACACTCCTAGTACCTTTTGACCTTCACCTTCACCACTGCCAGTTATATTGCTGTTACAACTAGTTGAGAAAAGGTTCAGTTGGTCGGTTAGAGTTTAGTTTGCTGCACATCTTTTGAACTGAACATGATAAAATTCAAAGTTCACTTGACAATTTGATTGTTTTACAGAGAAGTCATGCCATAGAGGAGGCTTTCTGCAACATTATTGTTCACAGTGAAGAAACCGATGCATGGAACAGCAAGTACAGTGGGGAAAAACTGAAGAAGCTATGGCAGACAATTCCACAGGTTAGTTTACTGTACAGCAGATAATGCCATATGTTAGTTTACTGTACAGCAGATAATGCCATATGTTAGTTTACTGTACAGCAGATAGTGCCATATGTTAATTTACTGTACAGCAGATAATGCCATATGTTAGTTTACTGTACAGGAGATAATGCCATATGTTAGTTTACTGTACAGGAGATAATGCCATATGTTAGTTTACTGTATAGCAGATAATGCCATATGTTAGTTTACTGTACAGGAGATAATGCCATATGTTAGTTTACTGGATAGCAGATAATGCCATATGTTAGTTTACTGTACAGGAGATAATGCCATATGTTAGTTCACTGGATAGCAGATAATGCCATATGTTAGTTTACTGTACAGCAGATAATGCCATATGTTAGTTTACTGTACAGCAGATAATGCCATATGTTAGTTTACTGTACAGCAGATAATGCCATATGTTAGTTTACTGTATAGCAGATAATGCCATATGTTAGTTTACTGTACAGGAGATAATGCCATATGTTAGTTTACTGGATAGCAGATAATGCCATATGTTAGTTTACTGTACAGGAGATAATGCCATATGTTAGTTCACTGGATAGCAGATAATGCCATATGTTAGTTTACTGTACAGCAGATAATGCCATATGTTAGTTTACTGTGCAGCAGATAATGCCATATGTTAGTTTACTGGATAGCAGATAATGCCATATGTTAGTTTACTGTACAGCAGATAATGCCATATGTTAGTTTACTGTACAGGAGATAATGCCATATGTTAGTTTACTGGATAGCAGATAATGCCATATGTTAGTTTACTGTACAGCAGATAATGCCATATGTTAGTTTACTGTACAGCAGATAATGCCATATGTTAGTTTACTGTATAGCAGATAATGCCATATGTTAGTATACTGTATAGCAGATAATGCCATATGTTAGTTTACTGTATAGCAGATAATGCCATATGCTACTTTACTGTATAGCAGATAATGCCATATGTTAGTGTACTGTATAGCAGATAATGCCATATGTTAGTTTACTGTACAGCAGATAATGCCATATGTTACTTGACTGTATGACAGATAATACCATAGGTTAGTTTTCTTAATACTGCATGACAGACTGTACTATAGTTACTTGTATGGCAGACTGCACACAGGGATTGGCTCCTAAATGAAGCATATTTCACATGTTCCTGATTATTTAATAATTGTTATAATACTGTGAAAACAGTTTGCTTTTAATAACTGTGCTTGAAACCCATACATAAAGTTCCCCAAGAGCTCCTGGGAAACTACTCTGTAATCTTCTCATCACTGAATATTAATAAAAAACCTTTTCAAACCAACCAGATGGCAGTGTATGTCTAAGAACCAATCAGAGTCCTTCTGAATCACATGATAAATATGTGAACAAATGGCAGGTCCCATGGTGTTTTAGATTACTAGATCACTGAAATATTTGCAGCAAAAGGACCGTTCTAAATAAAAGGTTTAGGGAAAATCCTTGCATTGGCAGCTCCATTGTTCAAATGTGAAACTTTATTGTCAATGCAATCTTGTTATAATTCTTTTTATCTGAAAGTTTCCAGAGCAAATTCCCATGTTACATGACTACATGACTACATGACTACATGAATACACAACTGTATGAATTATCCTTGCTCATTATGTAACCTAGTTGATATCATGTTAGGGGCGGTCGGGTAGCCTAGTGGTTAAAGCGTTCGCTCGTCACACGGAAGACCCGGTTCGATTCCCGACATGGGTACAATGTGTGAAGCCAATTTCTGGTGTCCCCCGCCTTGATATTGCTGGAATCTTGCTAAAAGCGGCGTAAAACCATACTCACTCACTGATATCATGTTACATGCAGAATATTTGACACATGCTGTGACATTGCTATTAATTGTGTCTTCATTGTTCCAGGAATCCCAAGACATCGGACTACGCACGTTTGTAGACTTGTTGCACCGCCAGTGCAATGCCAGCAGAGTGAATCTCCTGTGTGACCTGCTGGAATCAATGGTGGAGAATTGTGTCGTAGCTCCAAGGTACTGAATAGGCATCAAACTTGAAGGGAATCAAGCATTACGTACATGGTTATATCCCAACAATCAGTGGTTGTATTAACGGTTGTGTCATGTCTTGGGAGGTTAATAACCCATTTATTGTCCAGTGTGTTTAGTATGAATATGACTACTGAGCTTAAAGGAATTAAAGATTCTCAAGTGAACTCATATTTGAACTCTTCAGACCTACAAAACAGTTAAAAAAATTTGAAAATTGCCAAAGTGATAAGTCATTTAAGATATTGTCTGCACTGTTGCTCTCCATCTTGGTGCCTGGCATGGGGTAACAGGTGGCCCAGTCGTCTAGGGCGCCGCGATTTGCTGTGCAGAGTTGCGTCCCTTGTGCATGCCAGAAACCTATGATTGTGGGTTCGAATCCCGGTTCGCCCTGATTATGTTTCTAGATTTGTCAGCATCATACCCGTGCTCGTGGATTTCGCCAAAGTGGTTAACGTCTGAGACCTGCATCACTTTGGGCTTTCCTCCCACATTAAGCTGACATGCCGTGATATGACTCGAATACTAAGCTAGACACAATTTTATGGATAACAACTTCTTTAATACTGTGAAGTACTCACAGTATTAAAGAAGTTGTTATCCATAAAATTGTGTCTATCTTGTCATCCGTCAACTTCTAAGCAATGCCTATCAAACAATTTTGACTGGAATACTGTTAAAAGCGGTGTTAAACCCAACTCACTCACTCACTGGAGCCTGGCGTGTGAGCAATAACTTGCATTGTTCCAGGTCTATCTGTGAGGCTTTGCTGACCCGCGAGGGACTGAGCTACAGCCAGCCTCTGTTGTGGAATGCTACTTTCAAACTGATCAGGAAGATTATAGGAGGGGTGGATTACAAGGTGAGTACAAGAAATGGTGAGAGTACATTAAATATTGATTACATTATACGGTATTGATGACATGAAGAGGCACTGATTATAATAAAGTAGTATTGATTTCATAAAATGTCACTGAATTCTGGAAATAGGGAAATGAATTGTTTCCTGCCACATCAGTCTCATCAGCCGTCATGTGGAGTGCAAGAAAATGATAGAAGTACAATGTTGTGACAATGGTGTGGTTTTCAGTTTGTTGAACTCTCTCTCTTGGTTAGGGTGTGCGAGATCTTTTGCGGGTGATCCTGGACAAGTTGCAGAATTCTCTGCCATCAGACAATGTGGCCGTCCAGCCCGAGGTGGAGGTGGTCACAGATGTGAGTATTCCGATCCTTGTCATCCTGACCAGACTCAAAGGGTTAACGCATGTCAACCCGATACCTTCAGATGCTTACATGATTTCTAAACCCAATGGGGCACTGGGCACAGGCAAGTTACAGGGGTACTGGGCGCCTGGCAAGTTGGATATTCTAGCAAATTTGATTTTTGATCTAACAACACTTTGGATATTTGGTTCCTCAATATTTATGATTTAAGAGACTACATCTTGGATTTGTAAACAGCTCTAATTGCAAAGTCTGAACCTTGAGAACATGATACACAGTCCTCCATCAAGGCTTTTGCTCTGTAGTTAATTGTGTCCAGACTTGTGGACATGACAGGGATGGGTAACTTTCAATCTCATTAAAATCAGATCTTAGTTCTCGCTGCCGCTAAACAAAGATCTCAGGACATCCCATTACGGGTCACGTCAGACCGATCTTTCGCGAACTCTGACTGACCAGTGGAATTACTGACAAGAAGTCGACATTAGCCAATCAGAAGGCAGCTTTCTCGGGCTTTCAGCACTAATTTCAAATTGGCGACTACGCTTCGAAACATATTTTGACAAATTCTCGCTTAAAAATATGAAACTTGAATAAAAGAACATTCTCGAATGGCTAATATATGGTCTAGATTGTATAGATTCAGTCGTTAAGCCCGTAACTATCATTTGGATTACCCCGTTTTAGAGTTTTTGAGGCTGCATGATGAGAAATCACATTCCGACTGTCACTTTCATGATCTGGTAAGCGAGGCTCTGATTGGTCGGATGAATGGTCGTTCTGACGTGACTCCTAATGGGATGTCCTCAGATCATTGTTTAGCGGTAGCGAGAACTAAGATCTGATTTTAATGAGATTGGGTAACTTTAAACCGTTCAGTCTACAGCAACTGAGAGGTTATGACAAGTCATCCTCACCATGCTTAAGGTATTCCATGAAAGACTGAAGAACTTGGTGCTCTTTATGTGATAGACACTGGGGTGGATAGATTTTCTCCATTTTTTTTCACCATGTTCCGGGCATCATTCAGTTGAAGAACCCAAAAAGTAAACAAAATATTCTTTCTCCATAGGTGGTCACATATATCCTGGACAGAAATGCATGTCTCCTCCCCGCTTACCTGGCTATTAATGAGATCACCAAAGTCTGCCCTGATACAAGCACCTGGCCACAATGGGTAAGGTCCAGATACATGTCCTCACAGTCCAGGAGACTTGTGGATACAGAAACTCTCTCTCTTCCTTTCTTTTGTCAGTTGAGTGAGTGAGTGAGCTGGGTTTAACACTGCTTTTAACAATGTTCCAGTTAGTCACGACGTGTCAGCTTAATGTGGAAGGAATGTCTGAAGTGATGTATTTCTCAGATGTTTACCTATGTGGTGAAACCCATGAGAATGGAATGGTGCTGACAAACCTAGAAACATAATCGGGGCGAACCATGATTCGAACCCCCAATGATAGATTTCTGGCATGCCCAAGGGACACAACTCTTCACAGTGAATGGCAGTGCCTTCAACTACTGGGCCGGTTGACTAGATTGATTGTGTGTCATTGTCGCTCAACAATGTGGATCATTGCTCATAATATCAATCTCAATTTGTCTCGTCCAGACTTAATTATTTACAGGATGACATACTGAAATACTGCCAAATGCAGGGTTAAAACTGTTTAAGACAGCTCATAATGCCATCATTTTATGTATTGATACTAGCATCTTCCCGAGGCAAGTGAGTTAACTGACTTTAAAAGTCCAGTTTCCACCCTTGCCGAACTTGGCTGGAATTACTGGGCTCGATCATAGCGCCACCAGTGGCTATTACGAGTTATGTCCCTTCTATGCCTCTCCTATTGACCAATCAGATTCCACCTCTCGTATCACTTGCATTTGCTTCAAACAAAACAGTGGCGCCCAGTCAAGACGATCTGATCGATAATCAAGATCTATATTGTGATAAAACGAGTCTTACATCGTGAAGTGCATCAAATCACGTGAGCACCTTGATGAAAAACATGAAAAGATTTAGAAAATATCTGTTGACAGCAAGTTAGCGGTGCACATGCTTTGCAAATCCTGCAGTCGACCGAAATCTGCATGACACTTAACAAACTGGATTTCGATGTGTGATTTTGATTGGACTATGCATAAACTCGTTAGTCCAGGCAAAATGTAACTCCATAATACCAGCCTGATTCGGCAAGGGTGAAAACTGGACTTTTATAGTCAGTTATCTCCCTTGCCTGAGGAAGATGTGATACTAGAGGTGTCATTGATCAGGTCTGTACAGTAACCAACTATCAGATGTTGGGGCAGCATTCTCAATCAGATTTCATGTTTCACAGAGCATGGGGAAGATGTTGTCGAGTTTTGTGGACAGTTTCCGACCAGCTGCTCAGATGGTCTCCATTGCAGGTGAGATACACACACAAGGCATAGAAATATGCAACAAGAGAAGACAAAATTAAATAATTTACGACAAGTGTCATGATGTGAAACGACCCGTGAAGATTCCGGGGTAGAATAGGTCTTCAGCAACCCATGCTTGCCATAAAAGGTGACTATGCTTGTCGTAAAAGGCGACTAATGGGATCGGGCGGTCAGCCTCGCTGACTTGGTTGATGCATGTCATCGATCTCAATTGCGTGGATCGATGCTCATGATATTAATCACTGGATTGTCTGGTCCAGACTCGATTATTTACAGACTGCCGTCATATTGCTGGAATATTGCTGAGTGCGGCGTTAAACAACAAACCAACCAACCATGATGTGAAACATTCAAGAAAACAATACAATGTGTTTCTTGTATCCCAGGGCGAAGTCACCTTCTGCCAGTGGTAGGGCACTCCATGTCCATGAATAATGTCTGGCGTCTCAATACCACGACACTTCGCTTCCATCTCAGTGGGCCGCTGCCCTACGACAAGGCAAGTTAAACTACTTACTTATATTTTACGTGAATTATTCTTGCATTGTGTATTTTTTGGAACTAGTTTTGTATCTGCAGCTGACCTTTCAGATAAAATTGATGACACTATTACTTTGGAAGTGTAACGAATAATGAGAGCTCTAAAATAGTCTTGTTGTGCTGGTTCATGATTTTGTCAGTTTTTGATTTTAGCTGTTATTTGATTTAAGTTTTTGAACATGGTTTGTTAAAACAATAAAGAGATGAAGTGACAATTATGAGTGTATGTCCATTTTAAATCAAGATGTAAACATGTATTGAAGCCTTTTGGTCTTAGTAACCCTCAACTCCCAAAATACCACAATCAGATCCTAAATTACATTCTGAAATGATAAACATAAAACATGATCTCAAAAATCAGAAGCATGGTGAAATAGAGAATCCGGTAAAGTTAACAGAGATTTTATTTCAAATTCATTGATTCATTCATCAAGGAAACATTAAAAACTGCACTGTTTGGTTTGCCAGTTTATTGTTTTTCTTTGGTTTTGGTATCTGAGTCCTTGAGTAAAAGGTTTAAGAACATTGGCCGTGTGACATCCATGTTATCCCGGCAGGCTATTCAGGACCCCCAGACAAACCTGCTGAGATACGTGTTGGAGCAGCCCTACTCCCGTGAGATGGTGTGCAACATGCTGGGCCTCAACAAACAGGTCAGCAGCTCGTGTTTTTGTTTGTTTGTTTGTTGTTTAACGCCTCACTCAGCAATATTCGAGCTATATGATGGCGGTCTCTAAATAATCGGGTCTGGACCAGACAGTCCAGTGATTGACAGCATGAGCATGGATCTACTCAATTGTGATATGATGATATGCATCAACCAAGTCAGCAAGCCTGACCAACCGATCCCAATAGTCGTCTCTTAGTCTTACGACAAGCACAGTTGCCTTTTGCGGCAAGCATGGGTTGCTGGGGCATCTATTCAAGTTGAAAAACATAAGTTCTCACTGAAATATCTACACTGTATCATTTAGTATTATGTGTATTTTATCTTTTAAAGATGTTCACACCCATCTGTTATGAGTACGTGACAATATTTTTGTCAGTTTATTTATCCAATGTTTTGATATTACTTGGATGTTTACAGATGAATATTGTCTGGTTTTGGTGAGTCACTGAACTGTGATTAACACTGCAATATTTCAGCTTAATGTGGGAGTAAAGCCTGTCTTCAGACATTTTCCACTTTGGGGAGATTCATGGGTATTGGTGTTGTGCATAATCAGGATAAACTTGTGAGTAAAAACCCACGACGAAGTTCCACAACTGTATCAAAGACCCGGGTTCAATTTCCCACATGGGTACTATGTATGAAGCCATGTCTGGTGTCCACACAATGGTATTGCTGGAATATTGCTGGAATATTGCTAAAAGCAGCGTAAAATCATACCCACTCACTAATCTTTCAATTTAGACAAACAGCATGGATTGTTTTTCTTTTTGCTTGAAGGTTTGTTAATAAAACCAGTTATTAGACTCCAGCATGCACCAGTTCATGTTCATTATGGGGGCGGTGGGGTAGCCTGGTGGTTTAAGCGTTCGCTCGTCACACCGAAGACCCGGGTTTGATTCACAACAAGGGTACAATGTTTGAAGCCCATTTCTGGTGTCCCCCGCCGTGATATTGCTGGAATATTGCTAAAAGCGGCGTAAAAGCATACTCACTCACTCATGTTCATTATGCAATGATTCGCTATCAGTAGTCACAGTATTGCATTCAAGTCCTTTAAATGTTCTGTATCAGGCCAAGCAACGCTGTGAAGTTCTTGAGGACCAGCTTGTGGATCTGGTTGTCGTGGCAATGGAGAGATCAGAATCTGAAGGTGTCAACGACGATGCTGGGTTGAGTCAGTTGCTATGGCAACACCTATCTAGTCAGTTGATATACTTTGTGTTGTTCCAGTTTGCAAGCTTTCCCCACATGGTCATGTCCCTGTATGAAAAGGTGTGTAAATCTTATATTATTTCTTATACCTAGAGCAAGTTCCTTCTCTCTTTGATCCCATTACACAGAACCCTAAATGTGCCTCTCCACCAAGGGGGCCCTCTCCACAACACCAGCTCACCAATCAGAGTTACCTCCACTTGAACCCTCACTTTACTTCTCATCGAGCAGTCCAAACATTAGACTCAAAAGTTGTTGTTATTGTACAATATTTCATTTGTTCTTTCTTGGAAGGTTACTACATATACAATCTCATTTAAATCAGATCAAAGTTCTAATCAAAGCTAATCAAAGATCTGAGGACATGCCATTACGGGTCGTGTCAGAACGACCTTTTGCAAACTTTGATTGACCACTGAAATGACTAACAAGAAGTCGACATCAGCCAATTAGAAAGCAGCTTTCTCGAGCTTTACGGCATTCATTTCAACCTGGCGACATCCATTTCAGACTACGTTTGAAAAATATGTTGACACAGTCCTCAATTAAAATTTTAAAAACTGAACAAACGAACATTTCCTGAATGTCTAATATATGGTTGAGATTGTATAGCAGTGCTTCCGACATACTGTGCAACGCGTCCTCCATTCAAATGTTTATCCCACGGAAGCGAGAGATAGATGGTACTTTTGACGGAATCAGTTTTACGGGACGTAACTGTCATTCGGAATACCCTGTGTTAACGTTTTCAAATTTTCATGATTAGAGAACACATTCAGACTGTCACTTTCATGATCTGGTAAGCGATGCTTTGATTGGTCGTATGAAAGGTTGTTCTGATGTGACTGTAATGGGATGTCCTCAGATCTTTGTTATGCGATAGCGAGAACCAAGATCTGATTCAAATGATATTGCTACATATACAACAAGCATGAAATACTCATATTCCTTTCCAATATGATATCTCTGGTTTTGTGCAAGGCATGAGCCCTCTGGAAACGAGCACTACCGCCATTTTCAGTCTAAATCAAAGTCATTGCCATAAAATCTTGAAAAATATATTTTTTTAAAAATCCTAAACTACCAAAAGGCTCCAGTTTACCATAAGACCTGTCTATGTGCCGTTTTTTCTTTTAGAAATTAGTTCTAAGTTTAACTTGAAGAATAGGTATAATGTGCACATATCCTTTAGTCAAATAAATTTGGCTTGGTTGCTTTACTGTGGTAACTCTTTATACTTCCCAGTTATCATATAACTTGTCCAGTACTTGTCCACTATAGGTTAGACACACTGTAGACAAGCGTGACCTTGTGCAACTCAGGACATTGCCTTACTGTCCCATCTCTCCTGTTTCAGCTGAAAGGAAAGAACCTAAAGAAGGGGCGAGACCACCTGATGTGGGTTCTGTTGCAGTTCATCTCAGGCAGCATACAGAAAAACCCTGTAAGTATTGTTAAAGCCAGCAGTCTAGGATATGTCTTGGTATACACAGTGTAGTGGGTTAAAGCCAGCAGTCTAGGGTATGTCTTGGTATACACAGTGTAGTGGGTTAAAGCCAGCAGTCTAGGATATGTCTTGGTATACACAGTGTTGTGGGTTAAAGCCAGCAGTCTAGTGTGTGTCTTGGTATACTCAGTGTTGTGGGTTAAAGCCAGCAGTCTAGGGTGTGTCTTGGTATACACAGTGTAGTGGGTTAAAGCCAGCAGTCTAGGGTATGTCTTGGTATACACAGTGTAGTGGGTTAAAGCCAGCTGTCTAGGGTGTGTCTTGGTATACTCAGTGTTGTGGGTTAAAGCCAGCAGTCTAGGGTGTGTCTTGGTATACACAGTGTAGTGGGTTAAAGCCAGCAGTCTAGGATATGTCTTGGTATACTCAGTGTTGTGGGTTAAAGCCAGCAGTCTAGTGTATGTCTTGGTATACACAGTGTTGTGGGTTAAAGCCAGCAGTCTGGGGTGTGTCTTGGTATACACAGTGTTATGGGTTAAAGCCAGCAGTCTAGTGTATGTCTTGGTATACTCAGTGTTGTTTTGGTAAAAGCCAGCAGTCTAGTGTATGTCTTGGTATACACAGTGTTGTTTTGGTTAAAGCCAGCAGTCTACTGATGTCTTGGTATACACAGTGTTGTTTTGGTTAAAGCCAGCAGTCTAGGGTATGTCTTGGTATACACAGTGTTGTGGGTTAAAGCCAGCAGTCTAGTGTATGTCTTGGTATACTCAGTGTTGTTTTGGTTAAAGCCAGCAGTCTAGTGTATGTCTTGGTATACACAGTGTTGTTTTGGTTAAAGCCAGCAGTCTACTGATGTCTTGGTATACACAGTGTTGTTTTGGTTAAAGCCAGCAGTCTAGGATATGTCTTGGTATACACAGTGTTGTGGGTTAAAGCCAGCAGTCTAGGATATGTCTTGGTATACTCAGTGTTGTGGGTTAAAGCCAGCTGTCTAGGATATGTCTTGGTATACACAGTGTTGTGGGTTAAAGCCAGCAGTCTAGGATATGTCTTGGTATACACAGTGTTATGGGTTAAGGCAAGCAGTCTAGGATATGTCTTGGTATACACAGTGTTGTTTTGGTTAAAGCCAGCAGTCTAGGATATGTCTTGGTATACACAGTGTTGTTTTGGTTAAAGCCAGCAGTCTAGTGTATGTCTTGGTATACACAGTGTTGTGGGTTAAAGCCAGCAGTCTGGGGTGTGTCTTGGTATACACAGTGTTGTGGGTTAAAGCCAGCAGTCTGGGGTGTGTCTTGGTATACACAGTGTTGTGGGTTAAAGCCAGCAGTCTAGGGTATGTCTTGGTATACACAGTGTTGTGGGTTAAAGCCAGCTGTCTAGGATATGTCTTGGTATACACAGTGTAGTGGGTTAAAGCCAGCAGCCTAGGGTATGTCTTGGTATACACAGTGTTGTAGGTTAAAGCCAGCAGTCTAGTGTATGTCTTGGTATACACAGTGTTGTGGGTTAAAGCCAGCTGTCTACTGATGTCTTGGTATACACAGTGTTGTGGGTTAAAGCCAGCAGTCTACTGATGTCTTGGTATACACAGTGTTGTGGGTTAAAGCCAGCTGTCTAGGGTATGTCTTGGTATACACAGTGTTGTGGGTTAAAGCCAGCTGTCTAGGGTATGTCTTGGTATACACAGTGTAGTGGGTTAAAGCCAGCAGTCTAGTGTATGTCTTGGTATACACAGTGTTGTGGGTTAAAGCCAGCAGTCTACTGATGTCTTGGTATACACAGTGTTGTGGGTTAAAGCCAGCAGTCCAGGATATGTCTTGGTATACACAGTGTTGTGGGTTAAAGCCAGCAGTCTAGGATATGTCTTGGTATACACAGTGTTGTAGGTTAAAGCCAGCAGTCTAGTGTATGTCTTGGTATACACAGTGTTGTAGGTTAAAGCCAGCAGTCTAGGATATGTCTTGGTATACACAGTGTTGTGGGTTAAAGCCAGCAGTCTAGTGTATGTCTTGGTATACACAGTGTTGTTTTGGTTAAAGCCAGCTGTCTACTGATGTCTTGGTATACACAGTGTTGTGGGTTAAAGCCAGCAGTCTACTGATGTCTTGGTATACACAGTGTTGTGGGTTAAAGCCAGCTGTCTAGGGTATGTCTTGGTATACACAGTGTTGTGGGTTAAAGCCAGCTGTCTAGGGTATGTCTTGGTATACACAGTGTAGTGGGTTAAAGCCAGCAGTCTAGTGTATGTCTTGGTATACACAGTGTTGTGTGTTAAAGCCAGCAGTCTACTGATGTCTTGGTATACACAGTGTTGTGGGTTAAAGCCAGCAGTCCAGGATATGTCTTGGTATACACAGTGTTGTGGGTTAAAGCCAGCAGTCTAGGATATGTCTTGGTATACTCAGTGTTGTGGGTTAAAGCCAGCAGTCTAGGATATATCTTGGTATACACAGTGTTGTGGGTTAAAGCCAGCAGTCAAGGATATGTCTTGGTATACACAGTGTTGTGTGTTAAAGCCAGCAGTCTAGGATATGTCTTGGTATACTCAGTGTTGTGGGTTAAAGCCAGCTGTCTAGGATATGTCTTGGTATACACAGTGTTGTGGGTTAAAGCCAGCATTCTAGGATATGTCTTGGTATACACAGTGTTGTGGGTTAAAGCCAGCTGTCTAGGATATGTCTTGGTATACACAGTGTTGTGGGTTAAAGCCAGCAGTCTAGGATATGTCTTGGTATACACAGTGTTGTGGGTTAAAGCCAGCAGTCTAGGATATGTCTTGGTATACACAGTGTTGTGGGTTAAAGCCAGCAGTCTAGGATATGTCTTGGTATACTCAGTGTTCTGTGTTAATGCCAGCTGTCTAGGATATGTCTTGGTATACACAGTGTTGTGGGTTAAAGCCAGCATTCTAGGATATGTCTTGGTATACACAGTGTTGTGGGTTAAAGCCAGCTGTCTAGGATATGTCTTGGTATACACAGTGTTGTGGGTTAAAGCCAGCAGTCTAGGATATGTCTTGGTATACACAGTGTTGTGTGTTAAAGCCAGCAGTCTAGGATATGTCTTGGTATACTCAGTGTTCTGTGTTAAAGCCAGCTGTCTAGGATATGTCTTGGTATACACAGTGTTGTGGGTTAAAGCCAGCATTCTAGGATATGTCTTGGTATACACAGTGTTGTGGGTTAAAGCCAGCTGTCTAGGATATGTCTTGGTATACACAGTGTTGTGGGTTAAAGCCAGCAGTCTAGGATATGTCTTGGTATACACAGTGTTGTGGGTTAAAGCCAGCAGTCTAGGATATGTCTTGGTATACACAGTGTAGTGGGTTAAAGCCAGCAGTCTTGGGTATGTCTTGGTATACACAGTGTAGTGGGTTAAAGCCAGCAGTCTTGGGTATGTCTTGGTATACACAGTGTAGTGGGTTAAAGCCAGCAGTCTAGGGTATGTCTTGGTATACACAGTGTAGTGGGTTAAAGCCAGCAGTCTAGGATATGTCTTGGTATACACAGTGTTGTGGGTTAAAGCCAGCAGTCTAGGATATGTCTTGGTATACACAGTGTTGTGGGTTAAAGCCAGCAGTCTTGGGTATGTCTTGGTATACTCAGTGTTGTGGGTTAAAGCCAGCAGTCTAGGGTATGTCTTGGTATACACAGTGTTGTTTTGGTTAAAGCCAGCAGTCTAGTGTATGTCTTGGTATACTCAGTGTTATGGGTTAAAGCCAGCAGTCTAGGATATGTCTTGGTATACACAGTGTTGTAGGTTAAAGCCAGCAGTCTGGGGTGTGTCTTGGTATACTCAGTGTTGTGGGTTAAAGCCAGCTGTCTAGGATATGTCTTGGTATACACAGTGTTGTGGGTTAAAGCCAGCAGTCAAGGAAATGTCTTGGTATACTCAGTGTTGTGGGTTAAAGCCAGCAGTCTAGGATATATCTTGGTATACACAATGTTGTGTGTTAAAGCCAGCAGTCTGGGGTGTGTCTTGGTATACACAGTGTTGTGGGTTAAAGCCAGCAGTCTAGGACATGTCTTGGTATACACAGTGTAGTTGGTTAAAGCCAGCAGTCTAGGATATGTCTTGGTATACACAGTGTAGTGGGTTAAAGCCAGCAGTCTAGGGTGTGTCTTGGTATACACAGTGTTGTGTGTTAAAGCCAGCAGTCTGGGGTGTGTCTTGGTATATTCAGTGTTGTGGGTTAAAGCCAGCAGTCTAGGATATGTCTTGGTATACACAGTGTTGTGTGTTAAAGCCAGCAGTCTAGGATATGTCTTGGTATACACAGTGTTGTGGGTTAAAGCCAGCAGTCTAGGATATGTCTTGGTATACACAGTGTTGTGGGTTAAAGCCAGCAGTCTAGGATATGTCTTGGTATACACAGTGTTGTAGGTTAAAGCCAGCAGTCTAGGATATGTCTTGGTATACACAGTGTTGTGGGTTAAAGCCAGCAGTCTAGTGTATGTCTTGGTATACACAATGTTGTAGGTTAAAGCCAGCAGTCTGGGGTGTGTCTTGGTATACTCAGTGTTGTGGGTTAAAGCCAGCTGTCTAGGATATGTCTTGGTATACACAGTGTTGTGGGTTAAAGCCAGCAGTCCAGGGTATGTCTTGGTATACACAGTGTTGTAGGTTAAAGCCAGCAGTCTGGGGTGTGTCTTGGTATACTCAGTGTTGTGGGTTAAAGCCAGCTGTCTAGGATATGTCTTGGCATACACAGTGTTGTGGGTTAAAGCCAGCAGTCTAGGATATGTCTTGGTATACACAGTGTTGTGGGTTAAAGCCAGCAGTCTAGGATATGTCTTGGTATACACAATGTTGTGTGTTAAAGCCAGCTGTCTAGGGTATGTCTTGGTATACTCAGTGTTGTGGGTTAAAGCCAGCTGTCTAGGATATGTCTTGGCATACACAATGTTGTGTGTTAAAGCCAGCATTCTAGGATATGTCTTGGTATACACAGTGTTGTGGGTTAAAGCCAGCAGTCTGGGGTGTGTCTTGGTATACTCAGTGTTCTGTGTTAAAGCCAGCAGTCAAGGATATGTCTTTGTATACACAGTGTTGTGGGTTAAAGCCAGCTGTCTTGGATACCCAGGATATGATCTAGTAGGACTCGGTCGGCAGACCTTTGCCACAACAGCTGCTCTGTCTGAGATATGTACCAATAAATACTTGTAAAGGCTGTTGCTTGTCTCACGGAAGTCCTGAGTTTTATTCCCTCTATAGGTACAATGTCTGTTCCCTGTATTGACATGGCTGGAATATTTCTAAAAGCTGCTTAGAACCCTACTCACTTTTCTCCCATCTTAACTACATTATCGCAGACATTCATTGTTTAAGTCAAGAGGACTAGTGCACAATTATGTCATTAGTCCTTCTGGTTTGTAGCTAGTCCTAGACAATTGTGCCAAAATCAAAGCATGGAAAACTGGCAAAGTGTCATGACCCTCCAATGTTACTAGACATTGACAACTACCATCAGAATTGTAGTATACTAAGCCCATTTTAGTAGTCTTGGGCCAGCAGACTAGCGTGAACTTATAAGGCTGTTATGCTTCTCAGCACTCAAGGACGGTTTAGTTTGGTTTGGTTTGTTGTTTAACGCCGCACTCAGCAATATTCCAGCTATATGACGGCAGTCTGTAAATAATCGAGTCTGGACCAGACAATCCAGTGATTTATACCATGAGCATCGATCCACGCAATTGGAATCGATGACATGCATCAACCAAGTCAGCGAGCCTGACCACTCGATCCCGTTAGTCGCCTTTTACGACAAGTATAGTTGCCTGTTACAGCAAGTAAGGGTTGCTGAAGACCTATTCTACGAGTGTAGATGATTAGGGTGATGTATATGTTGCAGACTGTTGCAAGCGGGGGCCTGGTGAGCATCCACACAAAACATTACACAATTAATTTTGATAGTTACATGATTAGTTTTGTTTATTTCGTAACAGCTTCACACTATTAGATTGTCATTGTTTGATGTTTCCAGACGGGAACGAAATCTCAAGGAATGAGAATATCTTTCCCATTAATTTTTTGTTGTGTTGACAGAGAAACACTTTATGCAAGAAGGTCTTGCTGTTGTCAGAAAGATTTTTCTGATCATTTTAAATTAACATTCTAACATTGTTTTGTTTTCTTTTAGTATTTCAAGTATTCGAAATAGTTGATGAAAATTATTTCCACATTTGAAATGGTATAGGTTGCATATTTTCATTAAAGGGAAGTATTTAAGTTTGATATAGTAAAGAGGAACTAATCGTTAACCATGGGAGTCACACGGGTACATATTTTACAAAAAGGATGTCACATTTTTGTATTCATATTTCCACCTTGAACGTTATTTCTAAGATATAGATGCTCCATACATCATGTACATGTAACATGGCAGCAATAATGCTGGGATTTATCCAAACCTGCTCAGAGGCTCATATAATTTATAAAACATCACAATTTGGAAGTTCCAATTCATGAATAACTATTTATATGGCATAGTAACCTTTATTTCACTGATTACAGAACTCATAAAGAGGAAGAGGTTATACCCCACTGTTTTATATTTTTGCATTGAATGCAATCTTAAAATACAATGTTAGAATACCTCTGAATTTAAGAAAGTAAGAACTTTATTGAACAAAAATGAATTTTCTCCTTTTGTCTGCTGGGGACACTAAGTTTAGAAACCTGGTTAAATTCGTGAAGTGTGACATGTCTGTATTTGTTCCGACCTGTGCAGCTTGCTGACTTCCTCCCTGTGATGAAGCTGTATGACCTCCTGTACTCGGATGACCAGCTGATCCCCATGCCCGATGTGACCAAGCCCCGGTCAACACACGCTCTGGCCAGCACCTGCATCTGGATACACCTCAACAAGAAGGCTGAGAGTGACAAACAGAGGCTGCAGAGACCCATACCGTATGGTCTAAGAACACATCTCGAGTAAGTCATACCAACACCGTATGGTCTGAGAACACATCTAGAGTAAGTCAAACCAACTCCGTATGGTCTGAGAACACATCTCGAGTAAGTCATACCAACACCTTATGGTCTGAGAACACATCTCGAGTAAGTCATACCAACACCTTATGGTCTGAGAACACATCTCGACTAAGTCATGGACAACACGTTATGGTTCGAGAACACATCTCATGTAAGTCATACCAACACGTTATGGTCTGAGAACACATCTCAAGTAAGTCATACCAACACGTTATGGTCTGAGAACACATCTCAAGTAAGTCATACCAACTCCTTATGGCCCGAGAACACATCTCGACTAAGTCATGGACAACACGTTAAGGTTCGAGAACACATCTCATGTAAGTCATACCAACACGTTATGGTCTGAGAACACATCTCAAGTAAGTCATACCAACTCCTTATTCTCTGAGAACACATCTCAAGTAAGTCAAGGACAACACCTTATGGCCGGAGAACACATCTCAAGTAAGTCATACCAACACCTTATGGTCTGAGAAGAAATCCGACTAAGTCATGCCAACACCGTATGGTCTGAGACCACATCTCGAGTAGGTCATGACAAAACCTTGGGTCTAAGAACGCATGGTGAGTAAGTCATGCCAACACGGTATGGTCTGAGAACACATCTTGTGTAAGTCACGCTATATTTATGATATGTTTAGCTTTCAGAAAGAATTGATAAATTCAAAACTTAGTCATGGTTTTTTTTACTCTGATTTGTTTTCCAGATTCTTGAAACAGACTTTCAACAACAACAACAATCTCACCTTGAGTGACTACAAAATAGCCCTGCTGTGCAACGCTTGTAAGTACACATCTGTAAACACTAAATATGTCATGCACATATCTATACATAAATTTTACAGTAACACAGTAGTTGTATCATTATTATTTATGGTAATGTTGCTCAGTGTGGGATATTGACAGTATTGCAATGCTGATTATGTGTTCTATTAGTTCATTGTGAGTGAGTGAGTATGGTTTTACGCCGCTTTTAGCAATATTCCAGCAATATCACATTTGGGGACACCAGAAATGGGCTTCACACATTGTACCCATGTCGGGAATCAAACCCGGGTCTTTGGCGTGACGAGCGAACGCTTTAACCACTAGGCTACCCGACCGCCCCCCTAATAGTTCATAAGCTGTCACAAATATGTAACTGGCAAGGAATGCCACCCTATACACCAGGGTGCCGTTGTACAAAGCAATCTTAGCGCTTAGGTGATAGTAACTCCCATACCTTAACATATATTTACGACAGTCGTAGCGCTGAAGCTTTCAGCATCATTCCCATGTTTGTGGGTTTCACCAAACTGGTAAATGTCTGCATCAGTGTTCTGGCTTCTGTCCAACATCAAGCTGACACACCGTGATAACACATATATATATACACTGCCTCATACCTGTATGTATGCTCGTCAACCATACTTTGTTTATCATTTGCTTGGGTTTGAACCTACACCAAAAGGTCGCTCCTTTTGTAATAAAGTACTGGTTCATCCATATATCTTATCTTCACTTAATATATATACAGTTCAAATTATTGGGAACACAGTACACAGTAATCTGTAGATTTATTCCACTTCTATGGGCCTGGTCATGTCAACAGATCCAACTGACATACGATACAGACAGAAACACAATGGGATCAGCCCACTCTAACACACCATCCCTCTCGCAACCATTACCCAGAAACTTACCACACCACTATGTCACCCAATTACATCACAATCTCATAGACTCTTTATACATACTCAACATAAAATGTAAGGAATCCAAGTATACTAACAAACCTTGAGCATCAAAAGAAACCGGAAGTATGCTTTTGGACAATCTCATTAAAATCAGATCTTAGTTCTCGCTACCGCTAAACAAAGATCTGAGGACATCCCATTAGGGGTCACGTCAGAACAACCTTTCATCCGACCAATCAGAGCGTCGCTTACCAGATGATGAAAGTGACATGAATGTGATGTGACGTGACCCGTAATGGGATGTCCTCAGATCAGAGAACTAAGATCTGATTTTAATGAGATTGGCTTGTGGAATGCAACAGGAGATAGGCCCATTATTGCATAACGTGTAGGCCACTCGAAAATATGTCCAAAAAAATATATACCGAGCTCACTCACTCAAAGTCAAGAACGGGTTTGCTGACTAATGTTCTCCCCCTGTCCTTGCAGACAGCACCAACACTGAGTTCTTCAGCCTGCCTATGGGCAAGCTGCTGGAGAGTGTGTATGGGAACAACAAGAACACCACGCTGTTGCCCGGTAACATCGTGGCGTCAGCGCCTACACAACCCCTGTCCATGAGTCTGCTCGACTCTCTCACTGTCCATGCCAAGATGAGGTGAGATTTACATAACCTTTTCAGGAATTTATGTTGGGATCATTCATATGACGTTTTTATTGTATTGTGCCATCTTCCAGCGATATCACCTCCGGGAACACCAGAAATGGTGGTCACTTAAAGATAGAGTAGTGTTTTTCCTGTATTGTGTCTTTATTAAGTTACATTTAATCCTTGAGTTAGGTGTAAAGTTTATCTTGATTTTCACACACCTTACAGCCACTTTGTAGTGTAGTTGCTATTTTTGACCAATGAATCAAGCCACGGCCTGATTACAGTGCAAAAGGAACCAGATAGTGCTAAGACCAGTGAGCAGTCAAATTACATTGGCCATATTTCAGATAAAACCTGTGTCATCCCTCATCTTCAGAATTTATGACCCTCATGATTTCATGGCTTACATAAAGTCAATGGAATACAGTTGTTCACAGCTTGTCAAAATTGGTTTTGTATCATGGTTTGTTGAAAATGTTTGTTTTCAGCCTGATCCACAGTATTGTGACCCGTGTGATCCGCCTGGCCAAGAACAAGAACAACATCTCCCTGGCCCCTGCCCTGGTGGAAACCTACAGCAGGCTGCTGGTGTACATGGAGATCGAGTCACTTGGCATCAAGGGCTTCATCAGTAAGTCACCAGTTATCTCCCTTCAGGAAGTGGAGCCTGAAATGATATTCCCTTCTGGTTTTGAGAGGGCATATTTTTTCTGTGAAGAAACTATAATTAGGACATAAACCTTTTCTGTTTGAATTTTTTGTGTGGTTTATTGTTGAAAAAACACTGCTGAATGTCATTTACAACCGAACATGTTGGGAAGTTCAGACTACGTTGATATTTCTTTCTGGTTCTGATAGGGCAGACTTTTCTGAGAAGAAACTATGATACAATATAACCCCTTTGTCAAATATTCATACGTTACAGTGATTATGACGAGAGTGGTAATAATTCTGTTGGGTTTATACTTCCCAATTTTTGGCCTGAGGGATGACTTGCTTCAAGGAATACTTGCTTCCAGTTTCTTCAAAATATATTGGGGCAGAATGATTTACCAATTTTTTGTAATCTTTAGAACTCAACCCAAGGATATTTTTCACTTTATTTTTTTTGTATTTGTTGTTACCCTGCCTGGCGCTTGGCATTAAGGGGCTAAAACAAGGACTGGTTGACTCAGAGTCATATACTGTGTCTGAGTGGGGTATTCATGTCAAACTGCGGCATGGTAACTCAGTAAGCTAGCACTATAAATCGACATCAGTCCGGACTAGTACAAGCAGCCACACACACACACACGCATGCATGCATGTTGCTACCGGTGTGTAAGTGCAAAAATCTTGCACGTGACGTTAAACTCCATTTCACCTCAACTCACCCATCTTCCCGAGGCAAGTGAGTTAACTGACTATAAAAGTCCAGTTTCCGCCCTTGCCGAACTAGGCTGGTATTATGGAGTTACATTTTGGCAGGACTAACGAGTTTATGCATAGTCCAATCAAAATCGCGCACCAAAATCGAAATTCGGTTCGTAAAGTGTCATGCAGATTTCGGTCGACTGCAGGATTTGCAAAGTATGTGCACCGCTAACTCGTTGTCAACAGATATTTTCTAAATCTTTTCATGTTTTTAATCAAGGTGCTCACGTGATTTGATGCACTTCGCGATTCAAGACTCATTTTATCACAATATAGATCTCGATTATTGATCAGATCGTCTTGACTGGGCGCCACCATTTTGTTTGAAGCAAATGCATGCGATACGAGAGGTTGAATCTGATTGGTCAATAGGAGAGGCATAGAAAGGACATGACTCGTAATAGCCACTGGTGGCGCTACGATCGAGCCAAGCAATTCCAGCCAAGTTCGGCAAGGGTGGAAACTGGATTTTTAGAGTCAGTTAAATCTCTTGCCTCGGGAAGATGCAACTCACCTCACCTCAGGCTTTCCTTCCTCATCAAGCTTACACTGATATAACTGAAATACCTTTCACAGCAGCACTGAACCATTCACTGCATGCTTGTCCTTCCAGGTCAGCTTCTGCCGACAGTGTTCAACAGCCACGCCCTGGGCATCCTGCACACCCTGCTGGAGATGTTCAGCTACCGGCTGCACCACACCCAGATCCACTACCGCATCCAGCTGCTGGGACATCTCCACACCCTGGCCACCATCCAGCAGACAAACCAGAACCAGCTGCACCTCTGGTAGGTGGAGGGATGGGGCAGGTGGAGGGGGGTGGGGCAGGTGCACCTCTGGTAGGTGGAGGGATGGGGCAGGTGGAGGGGGTGGGGCAAGTGCACCTCTGGTAGGTGGAGGGGGTGGGGCAAGTGCATCTCTGGTAGGTGGAGGGGGTGGGGCAAGTGCATCTCTGGTAGGTGGAGGGGGTGGGGCAAGTGCACCTCTGGTAGGTGGAGGGGGTGGGGCAAGTGCATCTCTGGTAGGTGGAGGGGGTGGGGCAAGTGCACCTCTGGTAGGTGGAGGGGGTGGGGCATGTGCATCTCTGGTAGGTGGAGGGGGTGGGGCAAGTGCACCTCTGGTAGGTGGAGGGGGTGGGGCAAGTGCACCTCTGGTAGGTGGAGGGGGTGGGTCAGGGGCATCTCTGGTAGGTGGAGGGGGTGGGGCAAGTGCATCTCTGGTAGGTGGAGGGGGTGGGGCAAGTGCATCTCTGGTAGGTTGAGGGTGTGTGGCAGCTGCACCTCTAGTTGGTGGAGGGTGGTGGGTCGGGGGCACCTCTGGTAGGTGGAGGGGGTGGGTCAGGGGCAACTCTGGTAGGTGGAGGGGGTGGGTATGGGGCAACTCTGGTAGGTGGAGGGGGTGGGTATGGGGCAACTCTGGTAGGTGGAGGGGGTGGGGCAAGTGCATCTCTGGTAGGTGGAGGGGGTGGGGCAAGTGCATCTCTGGTAGGTGGAGGGGGTGGGGCAAGTGCACCTCTGGTAGGTGGAGGGGGTGGGGCAAGTGCATCTCTGGTAGGTGGAGGGGGTGGGGCAAGTGCACCTCTGGTAGGTGGAGGGGGTGGGGCATGTGCATCTCTGGTAGGTGGAGGGGGTGGGGCAAGTGCACCTCTGGTAGGTGGAGGGGGTGGGGCATGTGCATCTCTGGTAGGTGGAGGGGGTGGGGCAAGTGCACCTCTGGTAGGTGGAGGGGGTGGGGCAAGTGCACCTCTGGTAGGTGGAGGGGGTGGGTCAGGGGCATCTCTGGTAGGTGGAGGGGGTGGGGCAAGTGCATCTCTGGTAGGTGGAGGGGGTGGGGCAAGTGCATCTCTGGTAGGTTGAGGGTGTGTGGCAGCTGCACCTCTAGTTGGTGGAGGGTGGTGGGTCGGGGGCACCTCTGGTAGGTGGAGGGGGTGGGTCAGGGGCAACTCTGGTAGGTGGAGGGGGTGGGTATGGGGCAACTCTGGTAGGTGGAGGGGGTGGGTATGGGGCAACTCTGGTAGGTGGAGGGGGTGGGGCAAGTGCATCTCTGGTAGGTGGAGGGGGTGGGGCAAGTGCATCTCTGGTAGGTGGAGGGGGTGGGGCAAGTGCACCTCTGGTAGGTGGAGGGGGTGGGGCAAGTGCATCTCTGGTAGGTGGAGGGGGTGGGGCAAGTGCACCTCTGGTAGGTGGAGGGGGTGGGGCATGTGCATCTCTGGTAGGTGGAGGGGGTGGGGCAAGTGCACCTCTGGTAGGTGGAGGGGGTGGGGCAAGTGCACCTCTGGTAGGTGGAGGGGGTGGGTCAGGGGCATCTCTGGTAGGTGGAGGGGGTGGGGCAAGTGCATCTCTGGTAGGTGGAGGGGGTGGGGCAAGTGCATCTCTGGTAGGTTGAGGGTGTGTGGCAGCTGCACCTCTAGTTGGTGGAGGGTGGTGGGTCGGGGGCACCTCTGGTAGGTGGAGGGGGTGGGTCAGGGGCAACTCTGGTAGGTGGAGGGGGTGGGTATGGGGCAACTCTGGTAGGTGGAGGGGGTGGGTATGGGGCAACTCTGGTAGGTGGAGGGGGGTGGGTATGGGGCAACTCTGGTAGGTGGAGGGGGGTGGGTCAGGGGCACCTGTGGTAGATGGAGGGAGTGGGGCGGCTGGATCTCTGGTAGGTGGAGGGGATGGGGGCAGGTGCATCTCTGGTAGATGGGGGTTGGGGGGGGTGGGGGGTGGGACAGGTGCATCTCTGGTAGGTGGGGGGTGGGGGGTGGGTGGGACAGGTGCATCTCTGGTAGGTGGAGGGGTTTGGGGCAGGTGCATCTCTGGTAGATGGGGTGTGGTGGGTGGGTGGGACAGGTGCATCTCTGGTAGATGGGGGGGTGGGTGGGACAGGTGCATCTCTGGTAGGTGGAGGGGTTTGGGGCAGGTGCATCTCTGGTAGATGGGGTGTGGTGGGTGGGTGGGACAGGTGCATCTCTGGTAGATGGGGGGGTGGGTGGGACAGGTGCATCTCTGGTAGGTGGAGGGGTTGGGGCAGGTGCAGTTCTGGTAGATGGGGTCGGTGGGGCAAGTGCATCTCTGGTAGGTGGAGGGGTTGGGGCAGGTGCAGTTCTGGTAGTGAAGGGTGGGTTCATATAGGAGTAATTACTTTGGTTGTTAGTTGTACCTTGAGATATCTTGCTTTGCCCTGTTCCACAAGGTGATAACTGCTACAACAGTTGTAACTCAATAACATTAACACAAACTTTGCAGTATCACAAAATCAGTTTGTGGAACAGTTCCAGCAGGATCTGTTAGCCCAGTGCCAACATGTATCCATGTTGTATATGTGTCTATGTTTCCAGCGTGGAGAGCACGGCTTTACGCCTCATCATCAGTCTGGGCAGCTATGAGGTTCAGCCCCAGCTGTCTCGTATCTCCAACGAGTCCAAGAGCAACTCCTTCCTGGCGGGCGAGTCGGAGGAACTCAACAGGGCCCTGGTGCTGACACTGGCCAGATCCGTACACATCACAGGTCAGCTTGTCCTGTCCATATGCACTCGCAGAGTTGTAACCTTGCCTGAATCCCTCAATGAAACCAACTAGCATAGCCCCTTCATACCCAGGTCACTACACAGGCTCCACTGACCAGCAGACCTTGGTATGCCTAAGTAATTCATGCCACCTCAATTGCACGGCAGCAGTTATATTTGATAAAAGTTGAAAACTGAATACTTTTAGAACTGGTGGCAAATCTTTCAGAATGCAGGAAACAAAAGTTCGTGAAATAGTGAAATACACAGATCTGAATGCAGCGAACTTGCAGAACTAATTCTTCACAATTACCACGAGAACAGTCACTCATGAAGTTACATTCACAAAAAACAGACACTTTGAAACTTCTGTTTAAGTGTGTTTACTGGATATCAAGACGTGAAAAAGATTTCAGATTTCCTCAAAATAAAATACTGGAGCACTTACATTTTCTTTTTGAATTTATTTTATGTTCAAAATAACTGAAAATACAGCTTTTCAATTTATGATATACTGGTGCAGTCAATATTTTGGTGGTGCAACATGATTAATTCACTGGGTTGCACCTGGTGCAGGTGTAAAACAGAGTCAAATCGTACCCTTCATGCCCCTCAGAAAATGCAGAACTAATCCACACAGTTACCATTATGCACACACAAATAAACTTCGCTACATGAGTGAAATAATCTTGAACATGATGTTAAAACCAATTTCATCTCACTGCCTCACTTGTGTTTGGTTAATTTGGGCCTCCCAGTTCCTGGTCCTCAATAAGAGTCAAATATGTCAAACTGACAACTAAGTGCACAAACTGATCAAACTGACAACTAAACAAACTCAGACATTTTAGTGTATGGTGGTAAGAAGTCCAGTGTTACAGCAACAAGTTCACACATTAAGACCACTTACATGATTGGTACTCAAGTTAGGAGACATACCAATATGGAAAACCTGCTGGGTACCCATTATATAGCTGGATCAATCCTCCCTATACTGATCAAGGCCTATTTACTTCATTAGTTTGAACAAAGGCTGAGACAGCTTCCCCAACAACTAATCTAGACACAGTTACGTTCTATGGCAGGTATATTGCTACACCTACCCAGGGGCCGATTAGTTTTACATTATAGCATTGAATGCAAATGTTGAAATATCTCAGAAAGTTGGAAAAAAGTTGACTTTATACAATAATTCCAAGTTCAAACAATTTTTGCCTGCCAAGAGAACTAAGAATCCTAGATATACCCATGTATGGTGTAACAAATTTACTTTCTGTATGATACACACATGAGTATAATGTCAGATGATGTACCGGGTACTGTTTGTTTGCCCGATGTGGACAGCTACGCTAACAACTGAAAATAGGTCAGAATAGGTCTTCAGTAACACATGCTTGCTGTAAAAGGCAACTACGCTTGTCGTGAAAGGCGACTAACAGGATCGGTAGGTCAGGCTCGGTGACTTGGTTGATGGGTGTCATCATATCCCAATTGCATGGATCGATGCTCATGATGTAAATCACTGGATTGTCTAGTCCTGACTTGATTATTTACATATAGCTGGAGGGGCGGTCGGGTAGCCCAGTGGTTAAAGCGTTCGAATCCTGACATGGGTACAATGTGTGAAGCCTATTTCTGGTGTCCCCTGCCGTGACAGTGCTGGAATATTGCTAATAGCGGCGTAAAACCATACTCACTCACTCGATTATTTACATATAGCTGGAATATTGCAAACAAACAAATAAAACAAAAGTTCTTTGTATGACACTTAGTGTGTAGGATACACTGTTGGGTATGCTGTCAGTATAAAGTACTGTTTGTCTGCCAGGCCTGGACAGCTACTCCAACAACTGGTGCAAGGAGATCCTGATGTCCATCATGCAGAACACGCCGCTGGGGTGGCCGTCCCACACGCTGCAGTACTTCCCCCCCACCCTGGCCGACTACTTCAACCAGAACGCCGTCCTCAAGGACGACAAGAACCAGCTCAAGAGGAGTGTGGAGACCGAGTACAAGAAGTGGAAGAGTAACCTTTACCTTTATTTAACTCTTATAATAACCACCTGGACATTCTGGGTTAAGATTGGCCCCCACCAACCTGTGCATGTCTTACAGGCAACTTAGTGGATTGGGTGGTCAAGCTCAGTGTTTGGTTGATTTTGTGTCATCGTACCCATGTTAAAAGATGGTACTTCTTGTTACCCTGTCTGTCACTCGGCATTAAGGGGCTAAAACAATAACTGGTCAGCTTGGTGTCAGTGTATTGAATCGGGTATTCATGTTAAACTATGGCATTGTATCTCAGTGGCTGAGCACTATAATATTAGTCCAGACTAGTACATGCAGGTTGCTATGTGAGTGCAATAATCTTAAACATGACGCTAAACCCCATTTCTCCTCACTGGACCCCATCCGCAAGGAACGTTGCTCATAATACCAATCAGTGGATTGTCTGGTCTGTACTCACGGCCCATTTGTCTAAGGCGCCATCATTTGCTGTCAGAGTTTCATGCCTTGGGCACACCAGAAACCTATGATCGTGGGTTCGAATCATGTTCACACAGATTTCTAGGTCTGTCCGCACTATACCCGTGTTTGTGGGTTTCCCCAAAGTAATAAACGTCTAAAACCTGCACCATTTCAGGCTTTCCACTGACATTAAGCTGACACCATGATATAACTGGAATACTGTTCCAAGCGGCGTGAAACCCAACTTACTCACTCACTCCCATACCCAATTTATCACATTTTGTATTTCGAAGGAATATGCATCATTTTGATTGATATGATGTGCAAAGGATACTTCCTAATCACTCAACGTTTTGTCACAGAATAATGGCATGCAGTTAATGAATAATCACATTGTATTTTGGTGTATGGTTGATATTAAAGTTTTTCATCATATCATTAGTTTTGTTAATCAGAAGTTAAACTCATCTCATTGCCTGGCATAGTTTACTTTTACGTATTAGACAAATATTCTATGTACTATGCCGTCTTATATCGATGTTCACCTTGTTAATTGGTTTACGGGGGGCACGGGTGGCCCAGTTGTCTAAGGCGCCGTGATTCACTGTGCAAAGTTACGTCCCTTTGGCACGCCAGAAACCTTTGATTGTGGGTTCGAATCCCGGTTCGCCCAGATTATGTTTCTAGATTTGTCAGCACCATACCCATGCTCGTGGGTTTCACCGAAGTGGTAAACATCTGAGACCTGCATCACTTAGGGCTTTCCTCCCACATTTAGCTGACACGCCGCGATATAACTGGAATACTGTCAAAAGCGGCATTAAACCATCTCACTCACTCACTAATTGGTTTACATGGTTGAGCCCCAGCTATGGCCTGGAATAACAGGGATTTTGACAATTGTAGTCAGTAGCTTCTTGCATAGTTCTTTAACTATGCCCCATGAGGATCCAGGTTAGAATTGTTCTTCAGCAGCCCATGCTTATTGTATGACGTGGTTAATTGCATGTCATTGTATCAATGCTCATCAATGTCAATCACAGGATTGTCTGGTCCAGACTTTTTTTACAGACCGCTGCCATATAGCTGAAATATTATTGAGTGGCATTCAACAACAAACAAACAAACATTTAATGTCTTACAGAGGTGGAAAGTATAGAAATGATATTTTCTTGCAGGTATGGTGAATGAAAATGATCTGATTGCTCACTTCTCAATGCAAGGCAATGCTCCACTCTTTCTCTGGTGGGTGAAAACACTTCCATTTCATTCTATACTCTGTTGGCCATTAAAATGGTTATTTACTGAAATTACTTTGATTAACTACCCGGGATTGGAACCAGTGTGTTTTTCCTCAGTGTTCATTAGGGCTGCCACGAATACACTATGAGGCGAATACGATTCATATCACGAATATAGGGTAATGAATACGAATATTAATTCACGAGTGCTCAGGCTCACTGACTTGGTTGATGCATGCCATGATATCCCAGTTGCATAGATCAATGTCAATCACTGGATTGTCTGGTCCAGGCTCAATTATTTACAGACTGCCACCATATAGCTGGAATATTGCTGAGTGTTGCGTTAAGCAACAAACAAACAAACAAACAAACATATGTCAATTCATTAATGAAGCTGATATGACATGATGTAACAGGAATACTGTTCAAAGCGGTGTTAAACCCAACTCACTCACTGTTCAGTGTTAGATATTGGCACTAAAGTACTCATGGAAATGAAAAAAAAATGTTTTGCTGAATTTAATAATTGACACAAAGCATTACGTAGATGTAAATACGAAATAACAAAACAACTGGAAAAGTACTAGTCTGGATTTGCTAGTTCTATTTCAGTGCTCAATACAAAATGTACTTGACAGGAGGTAAATTGAAGGCACTTTCAACATTTAAAAATAAAACTAAGTCCAAATTGACATTGTAGAAACAGGCTATAGGCATTATGCAAATAAGCCTGGAAAAAAGTTATCAAAACAACAATAAAAATAACAGTTATGTTTATGTACACAATAATAATGACATGTAAGTTGTTCTTTGAGAAGGGAATATATTACTTTTACGTTCTGATATTTTGACAATGATTCACTATCCCACAATGCCACTGACAAATCACTAACCACTGACAAATCACATGCACGTGGGTTTCAAGCACCTGTTTTCACCTGTCGTCAAGGTGTCATAGGTCATGGACATTCACCTTGATCTACTAACACCTGGTTATGCTCAGTTTCACAATAGTCTGTTTTGTTCATATTTTTACACACTTTTACATGTAAACAGACATAAAAACCTTTGATACGCTGTATTTGTGTCAAGGCCCAATTAGTACAAATTGAGTTGTTTGAATATTTATATATTTTGTATATTTATTTAAAATCTGAGATAGAAAAAACAGGGTTTTTTTCATTTCCGTGAGTACTTTAGTCGTATAGTCCTTGAGAAACTGCCCAATAGTTAAGGTATAATAAGGACTAGTAGAAATTTGCCATTTTTAAAGGTTTTGCTATGTGTTATCATTATAAGGACTAGTGGACTAAAATTGTTTGTTTCTAACGCTGTTGTTATAACTGTAGTTGACAGTATGTGACTTTTAGTATCAACTTTGTAATTTACACTCGGTATAAACAGCAATGGGAGCAACATGCATTAGAACATAGTATTGTGGGCTGTAGTTTGTCACGAGCGCTGTTTTCTGTTTCAGCATCATTTTCAAGAGCTTGCTGGAGGACAGCAGAGTCTCACCTACAGCATACAAGTGAGTAATGGGGTTCTACAAGATTGGTTTTCAAGCAACCTTTTGTCACTTTAAAGACTTTTAAGGAATAATATAAGATTGATATGCGATAAATCGCAAAGAACAATAAAGAACGAAGCATGGTTTATTTCACGATAAAACATTTTTCTATCATGACGTCATTTCTGGTGATTCGAATATGTGCTCGCAACTTGATGACGTCATATATTGGACAACGTTATTTTGGAGAGGAAAGTGACTAGTAGGTTGTTCCCCATTGATGTAGCTGGGCTACAAAGATAAATGTGATGGTCGAAAGGTCATAACCAAGACGGGGAGAGATATGACAATAGGTATCTTGGAAAAGGTACAGATAATCAACGTGAGGATTGTGAGAATATGCGTGAAAGACCAAACTTAACACACCTGTTTGTATATGGACTTGTCTGAAAGTTCCGAGATCGGATTCTATTCAGGGAGTCATCATTATTAAAATTTGGGTACATATTTACAAAACTTTTACATTTTATCAACATCCTTAAGGAGGATGCATAATGTTGATGTCTCATATAAGAAATAAAAGACTGCGCCCCTTATGGTTTATTCTCCCTGCAGTGTTTTATTGTACGATAAACAACTCCCACCCGTCGTTTATTTCTTCAATATGGGTCTGTCTGTTTTTTACTTTATATTGCACTCTTTTTCCTCTTACAGGGTCCTTGATCGCCTCGGACCACGGGCACTGTCCGCACATCTAAGAGCATTTGCAGATTATCTAGTCTTCGAGTTTACCACCGTCTCCGGCAACCAAAACATAAACCGGGTAGGCTGACTCAGGGAGACCTGTAACCAATGCTGGTTACCATAGTTACCACTGGTTCCTGGATTTGTGGTGTTCCAAAATATGTAAACCGAAAAGTTAGTCACCTTATCCAGAAATGGTTTAATGTAAAATTATTTAATAGATGAAAATTATGCAGAAACCATTCTGATATTTGGAACACAATAGAAATATTTCCTACATGATAATGTCGGCACTGTATGTTATGTATATTTCATGTTTCAGTACATGGAGGCTCTGAATGAGATGATCTGGAGAAGCAACATTGTCACCATAGATAGACTGGTTCTCTGTCTGGTAAGAATAAAGTGGGGGGTGTAACTGGTAATAGTGTGTGCCTAGGGTGCCGTTGTACAAAACAACCTCAGCGCTCAATCTCATTAAAATCAGATCTTAGTTCTCGCTTCCGCTAAACATCCCATTACGGGTCATGTCAGACCGACCTTGTGCGAACTTTGACCGACCAATGGAATGACCAGTCAGAAGGCAGCTTTCATGCTTAACGGCACTAATTTCAAATTGGCGACTACGCTTCGAAACATATTTTGACAAATTCTCGATAGCAAATTTGAAACCTAAACAAAAGAACATTCTGGAATGGCTAATAGATGGGTTAGATTGTATGGATTCAGTCGTTAAACCTGTAACTATCGTTCGGAATAAAGTTTTTGAGGTTGCATGATTAGAAATCACATTCCAACTGTCACTTTCATAATCTGGTAAGCGACGCTCTGATTGGTCGGATGAAAGGTCGTTCTGACATGACCCCTAATGGGATGTCCTCAGATCTTTGTTTAGCGGTAGCGAGAACTAAGATCTGATTTTAATGAGATTGCCTTAGCGCTATGACTGTCGTAAGTCCATGTTAAGATATGGGACTTACAATCACCTTAGCGCTAAGATCACTCTGTACAACGGCACCCTGTTCATTGTAAGTCACAGCCTGCTAAAAATCTTTGAGACCACTAGCACTAACATGGCTCTTAACATTACTTTCAGTACATTGTAGTGTTATATGAACTATTATTAGACCGAAACTAGACTCTGGCTTCTGACTAGTGTCATGATGCATCAACAATGGGTGTCAATGTTTTCCTACTCTTGTCTGTCTGGCCCAGACTTCAATGATTCACAGGTTGCCATGGTGATGGTGTAATACTGCTGAGTGCAGCAAACTTCAACTCTCTCCATTATGAGATGGAAACTAAGTTTAGAGGTTGTGATGTCCACACTGATTTTAACGCTAAGTGTGCACACTGATTTACGCTAAGTGTGCACACAGGTTTTTATGTTGATACCTCCATAAACGTAAAAAAATATTGACGTAATTTCTTATACACCTTGATTAAGCCGCATATCGTCTATAACGCTCATTAAGTATTTGGACCCCATAGGTAGCATTGTACCAAGGGATCACAGTCAATATATGTCAACAGTAATAACTTCACAGACTGCTTACTTAATCATTAACACAAAAAGCTGTAGACAACGATATGAAATCAGTGACACTGATCAGTGAAATAATGCAACCCAAGTCCCATCCACCCGATTATCAGCCAATCAGGAAAACAGCAGACCACTGGGGCATGGCCTATTTTTTGTTTTCAGTTTATGGGAATAACGCATAAGTAATTGTTTGGTTATTCGATGAAATGCCATAGACTCACTTGCAGTATATTTATTTTCCTTTCCACCAACAGATCCTACGTAACCTGGAGGCTAACGAGGCTCAGATGCGGTGCCTCATTGTGCAGCTGCTGCTGGTGCATCTCCCCGACTTCAAGAACAGAGTCCACGACTTCGTCAAGGATGTAAGTCATGTACATCTACCTTACATCAAATACATACTAGTAGTATAATGAACTATGGATCTTAAGAAGCTGTTCCTAATCAAGATTCACTCTCCGCATCATCAGTTACACTAATCATCACAACACCTGGATCAATATTCATTAGTTAAGGCTGATTTATTGCCATTGCTAATGTACATTGTTATACCACCATATTTTCTATTACGTATTGGCTTTAGACCGCCTCCGTGGTCTAGTGGTAGAATGTCCGCCGGAGAGCGGAAGGTCCGGGGTTTGATCCCTGATCGCGTCATACCAAAAGACGTTAAAAGATGGTACTTGTTGTTACCCTGTCTGGCACTCGGCATTAAGGGGCTAAAACAAGGCCTGGTCTGCTCGGAGTCAGTATACTGTGTGACTGTGTCTGAGTGGGGTATTCATGTTAAACTGCGGCATGGTATCTCAGTGAGCTGGCACTATAAATCAGCATCAGTCTGGACTAGTACAAGCAGCCACACAATCACACACACGTACATGTACGTCGCTATATAAGTGCAATAATCTTCGTTGCGACGTTAAACCCCATTTCACCTCACCTCACATAATGGCTTTGAAAAGGCCAGGTGCTCAGTCTCGCTGACTTGATTGATGGATGTCATCGTTAACCCAATTGCATGGATTGATGCTCACTGGATTGTCTGGTCCAGACCCGATTATTAACATATACATGTAGCTGGAATATTGCTGAGTGCGGTGTTAAACAACAATCAAACAAACAAAAACAAACTGAAAGTGTAAGGTTATTCTTAGGTAATAATGAGAATTTTTCAAACCCAATTTCATTATAGGTAAACAAGAATTTTGTTGTTGTTGATTTTGTTTGTCGATGAAATGTCTTTCCAATGGCTTCTTCAGAACACCCCTGAGCATTGGCAACAAGCTAACTGGCATGAGAAACACATGGCATTCCATAAGGTAGGTTTATTGGGAGTTTGGGGCAGAATGTGTATCCAGTAACTCAGACTTGTGAGAATAGCTGTTGATTGCGAATATGTACGTTGGTGAATGACCATCTGTGAATACCAACTGTAAACTTGCCATCCACCAGGTCATCATGGCACTGATCTCGGTTACTTGGCAGACTGCCATAATAGAGCTGATACAGCATTTAACCTCATTCACTCACTAACTCAGGCACTCACACACATTCATTTTCTCAAACAAGTCATGTTGTTTAATGATACAACTAAATTTGATTTTTCTTCATTTTATTTTATTTCAATTAATCTATAGGCATAAAACCATTGGTTAGAAAATCCTACCTCCTCTATTACGATTGTTCCTGGAAGTATTTTGTTTAAACTCCTCTCCCCACAACCCCTCCCCACAACCTCTCCTCACAACCTCTCCCTAAAACCTCTCCCCACAACCTCTCCCAACAACCTCTCCCCAAAACCCCTCCCACAACCTCTCCCCACAACCCCTCCCTACAACCTCTCCCCATAACCTCTCCCCAAAACCCCTCCCCACAACCTCTCCCCACAACCTCTTCCAAAAACCTCTCCCCAAAACCTCTTCCCACAACCTCTCCCCACAACCTCTCCCCAAAACCTCTCCCCACAACCTCTCCCACAACCCTCTCCCCACAACCTCTTCCAAAAACCTCTCCCAAAAACCTCTCCCCAAAACCTCTCCCCACAACCTCTCCCCAAAACCTCTCCCACAACCCTCTCCCACAACCCTTTCCCACCCTTTTGGGGGCTTCTTGATACATACTAATCATCAGGGCTGTCTAAAAAGATCGATATTTGGAATTATTGTCGATGGGAAGAAATATTAACTATTATCGATAGGAAATTGCACTAACAAACTTGCATAAACTATTGTCATGAAATAAAGTTTAGATTTACCAAAACAGCCTTGTTATTGTCTATCATGTCAATTGTTGAAGACAGAAAGCAACTGTTTTTGTGATATCTCTAATGTCCACAAAGTTATCTATGCATAAATGTGTCACTGCTCACCAGGGGGTGAAATATGTCGACTTCTTGCGGGACTTTCTAACACATTTGCTTATGGTTACTTCTCAGATATTATCGATAATTAATTCATATTTAGTTAGCGATTATCGATCTCTATGATCTGTGTCAATAGCCAGCCCTACTAATCATGTGTTACTTTTTAACTCATACTGAAATATTTTGTGATATCTTTTGTGTCTGGTTCTCGAATAAAGACATATATGCCAAATAAGCTAACTCCACATTTTGAACAAAGATATCAGTTATTTATCTAATTTTAGGCTTGCAAACACAAATTGTTTTTTCTGAATTTTTCCAGATCATCCAGACTGTTTTTTGGTTTTGGTACACCCCCTTTTTAAAAGAAGCGATATCTTGCTAGATTATTTTCGTTCTCTATGTAGATAATTACAGACTGCTGTGCTGAACTCCATTCCTGAGTGATATTTTTCAGAAATACCCGGAGAAGTTCTACTACGAGGGGATCCAGGACCTGAATAACCCCATCCACCATCAGCATCTTCCCGTCTACTTCGGCAACGTCTGTCTCCGCTTCCTTCCGGTAACACCACCACCACACTGCTCACACCTCCCAAAGGGAGAGATGTTGAACTTCATAAAAACAATCATGATTATTTGTTTAAAAAGGCCTGAACAGAGTTAACAGAGACATATTATGTCAGGAGAGAGACATTGGGAAAAAGACCCCTGCATCCATGCTTGCATATTGAAGTTGTTTCAGATTTTGTCCTGGAATTGACTGGAGTGAGTGAGTGAGTGAGTGAGTGAGTATGGTTTTACGCCGCTTTTAGAAATATTCCAGCAATATCACGGCGGGGGACACCAGAAATGGGCTTCACACATTGTACCCATGTCGGGAATCGAACCCGGGTCTTCGGCGTGACGAGCGAACGCTTTAAGGAATTGACTGGAAGTATATACAGTGATTCCTTTGCTTAAATACTATTGATCCCAGTTTAGTGGATCGATGCTCATGATGTCAATCACTGGGCCAGTCAATCTTTTGGTCCAGAATCGATTATTTACAGACCGCCATCATATAGCTGGAATATTGCTGAGTGCTGTGTTAAAAAACAAACAAACAAATGTGTCTCCCTAACATGCATGTTTCAAATTTAAGTAATGTTTAGGAGCCATGCATTACAGCGCACTATAACCAAGTTAGCGCTATAGTGAAGGGCGCAATAGCGAGGAAGCACTGTTATAGATATTATGTGTCGGGGTTTAGGGTTTTTTAACAAGCTGAAATGGCTTGTACACCACAAGACTTAAGGTTGTGGGGTGTACAAAATTGTTCAGGTCATAAAATCCCATACACCCTGCAATTGACACCTGTAACAAATTTATCATCTTTGTTGACAAGTACAGAGTTATTTTCCGTGAAATATGTTTGTGTGACAATATCAAATCTGCCTTGTGACAGCCAGTGGGCTTCGTATCGTAACTCAAAATGTGAACACAGTCAAAAAACATACAAAACACTATGATGACATGATTTCTGTACAGGCCGACTGACTTGTATGGGTTTCTTTCTACAAGATGTCTACTAGCCAATCAGAAAGCTGGATATAATTACACGTAATGATGAAGTGTTTTATGCACCTGATATGTGGCAGGTTCTGGATGTGACGATTCACCGTCTCCTGGAGTTCCAGAAAGTGCAGAAGATCCTTGAGAGTATCCTGGACCAGATCGGCTGTCTCTACAAGTTCCATGGTCAGGACCGTATGGTTGCACTGGAGCTTCCTAGTTGCCAAGCAACCAGTTCAAATAGACTTAATTCTCAATGGTATAATCAATAGACGATATTTCATGTATCGATTGAAATATCATGTTTCACTCATCGAGTGACAGAGGTAAAGAAGATATTATAATATCTCCTTTACCTCTGTCATGAGATAAGAGAAAAATGATATTTCACTCGACACATGAAATATCCTCCATTGATTATATCATTGATTATATCATTGAAAATTCTGTATCATACTTATAGATATGATATTATACAAAATCCACTTTAACAAAAAATCCTCCATTGATTACCAGTATATCATTGATCATATCATTGAAAATTCTGTATCATACTTATAGATATGATAATATACAAAATCCACTTTAACAAAAAATCCTCCATTGATTACCGGTATATCATTGATCATATCATTGAAAATTCTGTATCATACTTATTGATATGATATTATACAAAATCCACTTTAACAAAAAATCCTCCATTGATTACCGGTATATCATTGATCATATCATTGAAAATTCTGTATCATACTTATAGATATGATAATATACAAAATTCACTTTAACGAAAAATATTCTTGAAAAATACGAGACCGCTGTTGGAAGCGAAAGAATACACGCTGTTCAAGTAACAAAAATGGCCCTTTGTGAAAAGAACAGTCTCGATTGACAAGTTAAATGAGAAATTTACAGTTTATAACGAAACATTTTCAAGAGAATAACAAAAGTCATGAAGTGATACTAACTCCATAAATGATCTTCTGTCATTATTTTGCCTTGTCAATGTGGAAGTAATGTAAAAAGGAAGTCAACAATTTGTGTACGGTGTACAATTTTACTTACGGTAAAGGGAGACAATTTGAGGGGAGGTCACTCTTGTATGACAATAGTTCTGTCACAGTGTTATGTTCACTGCAGTGAAATATCAATTGTTATGTTCACTGCAATGAAAATCTCACTTTTCTGAACCTCAGAAAACTCAGTCTTTCACACTTCCGTATATAATCCAATGCATTATACCATTCTGTCAGGTATATCCTTTCTCCCGTAAATAATCTTGTCGATATTATATTTGCCGTCACTTGGCAACATGTAGGTTCAGAACGGTCACGGATGGTGGGTGGCCTGACACTAGAAGTCTTATCTGTAGGAGAAATATGATTTGAAGACCGAGGACAGCTAGAGCTGGAAAGTCTGATACTCTGGGGCCCCCTCAAGTCTTGTTAATCAACAGTCCTTTCAACAAAGAAGATCATATCCTAGACAGAATCAGCTTTTGTTTCAGACCGCCCAGTGACGTACCTGTACAACACCTTGTTTTACTATGAGAAGCGTCTCTCTGGAAAGTCAAGTCTCAAGAGGAAGCTGGTCCAGGGTATTATAGGTAAAAACAGGGAATAGTTTTTTTCTCTAGTCTGTTGGTTTTATCATGCCATACATTGAGAATGATGCTACTCTACAATAATTTTCTTCTTTATCAATCAAACATTGTTATCACCATTCCCTGGCAAATCATTTTACTGGTGGCATGAAGGGGAGATAACTCCAACTACTCCTTACAGTAATCTTGTTTAGTTTTGCATAAATCTCATTTGCAGAGTTCATCGCAACTCTGATGTTTATTTGTCCCCTTTTGTATCTGTAATGCTGCAGACATGTAATGCTTAGCTCATATTAGATGCCTCATTAATCATGGAATATTTAACACTTGTGGTCCCTCTTCAGATATAGGGCAGTGGGGTAGATTACCGGTTAAAGCGTTTCTCATCACACTGAAGACCCGGGTTTGATTCCCCACATGGGCACAATGTGTGAAGCCCATTTCTGGTGTCCCCAACCGTGATATTGCAGGAATATTGCTAAAAGTGGCGTAAAACAATACTCACTCACTCACTCTTTAGATGTTTTTTGTTGCAATATCTGAAATTAAGTTTGTCTTTATATCTCCAAACTAGGTATATTCGTCTTCTAGAAGGGTACCCTAATTTGATAGATTTTAAATAATATTAGTTATGGTGTCTAATTTAGTTGCCGTATGCGGTGTCATATTGGGTATTTTCCTTCTAATCTAATATGACAACATATACAGCAACTAGAGACACCATAAAAAATTTATTATGCCGAAAAGTTTACACTCTCTGGTATCCATATCGCACGTGTCATGTCAAAATGAAAACTTGACACTTCCAACCATACGTTGAAGGGTCAAAGGGAGACTACTCTTCAAACCTTAGAGGCCAAACCTTGTTGAAATTTTAACTATAATCTTTATCAATGAAGTCATGAACGTGATCTAAAAAACAGATTAATGTCCTTGCACATAACAATTAATGATAGTAAAACAAAAAACAGTGTCAAATAACAAATTTTTGTATCAGAATTTTCGTGTGAAATAGGTGAGGTGGGTGTTGGAAAATCCAAAATGGCTGTTACAGACGGTATACGGTCTCATATTAGGTCAGTAACAACCATCTTGGATTTTTATTGACTGTATACAGGCTCATGTGGGGTCGGTAGTTCTGCTTTTTGATTGGTCAATCTCAGTTTGAGGCATAATAATGGTTATTGTTATGCAGTGGAAGACAATGAACAAGTGACGAACACTTGCACTTCTGACTTCACATCACAAAATATGAATACTGGAGAAATAAACATACTTCTGATAAACGGTGGATAGATCGTGAAATAAATGTGATTCTCTTCTGTTGTAATGCAAGATTCTTGACAAGATGCAATGACCAGGAATGTAGGAATGAATGACTATCTGTATGAATGAGAACATGACTGTTAGTCCGCAAGAACAAAATAAACTGCCTCTTGCTTCTGTGAACAAAAATGACTATTAGTCCATGAGAACAAGATAAACTGGCTCTTGCTTCTGTGAACAAAAATGACTTAGTCCATGAGAACAAGATAAACTGGCTCTTGCTTCTGTGAACAAAAATGATAAACTGACTTTTACGTATTACTTGGCAAAATTCAGTTTCTGCTCTTGCAGCGAATACATGATCTATTGGAAGTGTTTTCCACAAAAGTATTATGCATTTATGTGAAGTGTTCATGAACCTTGAACCCAAATCAGTGTGTGTTAATACCCACCCACAACAGCTACAATTGTTATATAAGAATACATACTAAAGTCACATAGTCTCCGATATTTCTACATCTTTATGTGTTTCTCTCACCACCGTAACCTGTATTCAGCTGGGGCATTCAAGGAGATCCGCCCGCCCAACTGGTGTCTGTCGGAGGACTACAACCGCCTGTTGCAGATGCCCCACGATGACCTCAGCTGGATCCCCGACCAGGACTACTACGTCCGACTCATCGCTCGCCTCGTCGACAGTATCCTTCACTGCCTCATCAAAAAGTTTTTCTCGTTTTCATCTTCTGGTTTTGAATGGGGACATGGGTTGGTACACAGCCTGGGGCATAATCCTGTGCACATTTTGTTGGTGTGCAAACCTCATTTTGCTTTTGCAATACTCTAAGAAGGGTGCATCATTGTATTGATTTTACTCAAACTGTAATATCATTTTGTGTTTATGATGAACCCAATACTACCCCGGTTGTCCTCATTATAACTAGGATTTGTAAGTTGTAGTGTTTTACCAAACACATATATGAAATGTTGGTCCTATCCAACCTTTCCTATGCCTTTAAAAATTGAAAACCTTTATAACCTAAAGCTCTGTTCAGAGTAATAAGTGAAAATTGTTTCTGTTCCCAAACCTTAACACATTCAAGCCATTGGGGGCAAGATTCCACCCCCCTTCCCGAACTGTGACTGGCGGTTCAACGAGTTCCCAAACCCAGCTGCCCACGCCCTTCATGCCACGTGTGTGGAGCTGATGGCACTTCCTGTCAGTAGTCCCATCGTCGGCAACGCTCTGCTCGACGTGGCACTGAAGAGGTACAAAGATGACTTTTGGTGAGATCTAGCAGATCTAGTTGTTGTCTCATGTTGTACTCTAGCTAGATCTCCAGGTGTAAGTTCTAGTAGTGGAGGGTTACAAGCTGGTTTGAACGTAGGCACTGGCAATTGGGGAATGTCAACTTGGCCCATCTGCTGGTGAATCCATAGACACTCAGTCTCAGAGTATCTAAAGTTTCTAAAGATTTTCAAAGACTAAATATATTCTTCTAAATTTGCAGTAATCATTATGAAGCAGTATAGGTTAAGCTGATCAACAACAGAAACTAGGTTGTCGCCCTTGTCAGTAATCCGTAGATTTGGTTGGTTAGTGATCCATGTTGTCGGGGTACGATGACACACTATCAACCAAGTCTGACCCCCCGCAATCGCATTAAAATCAGAACTCTCGCTACCGTTAAACAAAGATCTGAGGACATCCCATTACGGGTCATGTCAGACCGACCTTGCGCGAACTTTGACCAACCAATGGAATGACCAATCGGAAGGCAGCTTTCTCGTGCTTTACGGCACTAATTTCAAATTGGCGACTACGTTTTGAAACATAATTTGACAAATTCTCGATTACAAATTTGAAACCTGAACAAAAGAATGGCTAACAGATGGTCTAGATTGTATGGATACAGTCGTTAAACCTGTAACTATTGTTACTTTCATAATCTTGTAAGCGATGCTCTGATTGGTCGGATGAAAGGTCGTTCTTACGGGACCCCTAATGGGATGTCCTCAGATCTTTGTTTAGCGGTAGCGAGAACTGAGGTCTGATTTTAATGAGATTGGACCCCCGATCCATTTGGTCACCAGTTATGGTTGATAACTTATTTTAATCATGATTCCCCACAGGGTGATAAATTTGCAGTTTGACTTTACTTTTGATTTGAAAAAATAAATGAAAGTAATTGTTCTTTTTGTGATGGTTAGTGGGGTGGGGGTGGTGGGGGACAAAATTTACTTGTGAAAACTTTTAGTTTTATTTCATAATTTTATGTGTTTAGGGTTGGCATGGGTGATGTAAAGTTAGGATTATTGTTCTTAATGTGACTGAAGTGTGTTTCTTGCTTTTCAATGTTAGTCATCTAACAAAAACAAATGTTTGATTTAATGAAAAAATGTTTGAAGCATGAATATATTTTTTATAGTGAAGACTGAGCACACAATTTCATAAATATATCCCCAAGAATATTCATAATCGCAAACTAATTTGTGTTCTGTATATGTATGTTAGAGATGGACTAACTGTTAAAATACTTCCTCCAGCATTTGCTCCACCTTTGGATATTGTTCAAACTGGCTTGCAACTGAGTGACCTGTGCATGATGTGTGTAGCCAGGATTCTGTGTTGTTCTGTCTGTGTGTCTACTTGCATGTGATCCATTAACAAGCTGTGCTTTTCAGTGGTTGTGTCTAGCGTACTAAAACCCCCCTGGCCAAAGATGGAGGAGGCACATCTTCAAGGAGGAAATCGGTCCAGAACTTGGAGTCAAGTTATCTCCCTTTGAGCTTGGGGTCGAGTTATCTCCCCTTGACCAATTATGCAAATGAATTGCATCACACTATTGCTTATACTGAGGATAGATGTTTCTTAAATTTTGGTCCTGTGATATGTTCCATTGTGTGATCACAGTGACACTGTGACCAGCCGTCAGTCTGTGTTGAAGTAGAGGAGTTTTGACAATCCAGTGCTAAACTTGCTTTATGGAACATAGCCAAGGGAACCAAATTTGACTTTCTATGAAATAAGGTGTATGTATTTGGAGGTAAATAATTAAGGAAAGACTTGTGTATAGATTTGAAAAATATTTTATGATCAGCCAGTCAGAGTTGTAGAAGATGTGTAAATCCTACCGCTAACACTGGCACACTTATCTAACGGGTCGATCCGTAGTCGACAGTTGTGACATCATTGAACAGCTGATAAAACATGATATGGATGAGGGGGATGCGGTAACCACAGCTATATCTGACTACAGTGCCCAGATTTCTCCCTACAACAGAATCAACACTCTTACTCCCCATCCTCTCCCACAGGTCCCATGGAGCAGCGGATATATTGCTGCATCAGCATTAATGTTTGCCACCCCATCTATCACTAACAACATTGGAGAGATGTCATGATATGCCGACCTCATGTGTCAATACTTGAGTTATGATATATGATACATATTATACTACATGTATTATAATGCAATAAGATTTAGCCCCTTACTGTTGGTCCCCAGCAACCTATGCTTGTCATAGGAGGTGACTAAATGGTCGTGGGTCAGACTCGGTGACATGGTTGATAACATGTGCGCGTACCCCGACGGAGTAGAATGGTGCTCACAAGATTGTGAGACTCGATTATTTACAGATTGCCATCATATGGCTGGAATATTGCTGATGGCGGTATTAAACAAGAAACCAAGACATATGATAGGATACATATCAGGAGCATTCTCATAGTATTATGCAATAAGATTGAGCATTTTGTTTCATGACAAGTAAATTAAAGCTGCCCTGTGTCGCTGTCATATCTGGGTTACTGAAATACGTCATAAACATTACTTTTTGAAAATCGAATCACAATTAAATCTTGTTTATATATATGGGTATGTGTATTGTGTATCATTTTGTCCGATGTAAGTTCATGATACATCAATATATTGGTGAATCGTGACAACCCTACAGTTGACTGGTTTTGTTGTTACTCCTAATGCTCGTGTGTATACACAAAAACTTAAGTCCGAGACAAAAAAATAAAAATCTGATTGGTTCTTATGCTTGCCACTAAACTTATATTAATCGGTTAGACAGTATGCAGTGGTAGAAACTGGCATTTTTGTCGGCTAGTCCTTATAATGATAACACCCCTTAAAAATGGCACATTTCCAGTCCTTATGATACCTTAACTTTTGGGCAGTTTGGCAAGGGCTACAGGACTAGTGCCAATTTCTAACGCTGGTCAATGAGTGAGTGATTATTGGTTTTCCTCGCATCAGAATTCTTGCAGCTGTTCGCAGCAGTCAGTTGGGCAGGCAAATGAGCATCTCAACCTGTCTTTCAAGAATTAGACAGTGTGATGTTTCACTCTGCCATTATGAATTGTTGCCTGGTTGGGTAAAAGGATGTTTGTGTGGTATGAGACATGTCCCATGTCTTTTCTGGTACTAACACATATTTTATTTAGTTACGGAAAGGAAGTGGTTGTGATAAATCATAGAATCAGGTACATGTCATTATTGACCCAAGACTATCTGACATTATCCCAACTTAGACCCCTTCTGTTGTAACCTGCATGCCATACTGCTTGTTGCCATGGACACTCACTGATTTGTCCTCCTGTTCATGTTAACAAAGTTCAAAAGATTGTTGTTCTTTACATACATATTAACCAGTTATACTAAACTGTTCTGTTTGTGACTTTGACTCCTTCCTCTACTAACCTGAGGGGCGGTCGGGTAGCCTAGTGGTTAAAGCGTTCGCTCGTCACGCAGAAGACCCGGGTTCGATTCCCGACATGGGTACAATGTGTGAAGCCCATTTCTGGTGTCCCCCGCCGTGATATTGCTGGAATATTGCTAAAAGCGGCGTAAAACCATACTCACTCACTCACTCTACTAACCTGAATGGCATCAAAATATTTAACCATGTACATTGGTAAATAGATATTCTACTATTTATTTACATTTAGTTTTGCTATCTAGGCCAGAGCAGTTTATTTTCTTGTATGTATATTTTATCAACCACTATGTCAAGAATTAATTAAAATAAACAGATTGATTTGAGGCACAGCAAAATTGATTAATATTCAAGGACCAAAACACTCTTCGAGGCCATGAATATGCATGAGTTTCAGTATAATATCCTGTTTAGGAGGTAATATTTGGAAATGATAAATGCAATAGAATGTTTTATAAAAGCATATTTTCATTCAAAGTATTTTGTTTTGCTTTTAGAAAATTTAGGGTAGGTTGTTAGAGCCGGAAAGTAAATATGTCTCTGCTTACAAAATAATATTATCTTCCCGAGACGTGAGAGTCAACTGACTATAAAAGTCCAACTTCCACCCTTGCCGATCTAGGCTGGTATTGTGGAGTTACATTTTGGCTGGACTAAAAAGTCTGTGCATAGTCCAGTCAAAATCGCGCACTGAAATCCAAATCCGGTTCGTAAACTGTCGTGCAGATTTCGGTCGATTGCAGGATTTGCAAAGCATGTGCACCTCCAACTTGTCAGCAGATATTTTCCAAAGCTTTTCATAGTTTCACCAAGGTGCTCACGTGATTTGATGCATTTCGCAATGTAAGACCCGTTTTATCACAATGTAGACCTTGATTATCGATCAGATCGTCCTGACTGGGCGCCACCATTTTATGTGAAGCAAACGCAAGTGATATGAGAGGTGGAATCTGATTGGTCCATAGGAGAGGCTTAGAGGGGACATAACTGGTAATAGCCTCTGGTGGCGCTATGATTGAGCCCAGTAATTCCAGCCTAGTTCGGCAAGGGTGGAAACTGGACTTTTAAAGTCAGTTAACTCTCTTGCCTCGGGAAGATGACTAAATATTGTCTTATGTTATATTTTTTAAACTTCATAGAAGACATGGTAGGAGTGTAGGAACTGATAATCAAAATTAGCTCTAAACAACAGGAATTTCATCTCAATGATGTTTCTAGCATGTTTAGCTGTATTATCTGTGTGAGTTGTTGTCACACTAATATCATACTTATGCAATTTAATGATAATGTGCATATTATAACCTGCAAAATCCACACCCAAAAACATTCTCAAAGTGCTACATTATTACCTCGGTCACTAGATTAGTGTGCACTCAATATTCATTCTCAGCTCCCTTGGGAGTATGCAGCCCAAACTGTCTGAGGCAATAGAAGCTTAATAGTCATGTTTGAGAATGACATAGTCACCGAGCTGGGGCAGCTAAACATGCTAGATATGCAGGGTGTTTGTGTTGACATCAGAATGACATTGTTTTGATTGTGTGTATTTTGCAGCTGTTTCCAACTGCCGAGAGACAAGATCATGTCTTGGATGAATGCTGTTGGCCTGGTACTGACAGCGCTGCCTGTGAGTTGATTATATCTGCTGTCTGAGCTGGATTATTTTTTATCCCCTGCCACAAAGTAGATGGGGGATATAGGAATGGGTGCTGTCTGTCCATTTGTCCTTCTATCCATCCGTCCATCACATTTCGTTTCTGGAGTAGAACTCAAAAGTGATGAGAGATATCTTAACCAAACTTGGCACATAGATAGGTCTATCTGTGAACTGGTTCCTTTTTATAGTTTGCTTTTTAAAAACGACAACATTTTTCGAGTTTCCATGGCAACAATATTGACTTGAAATGGTGGTAGTGCTCCTTTCCAGAGCAGATCTTGAAAACCGTACAATATTTCTACACCAAACTTGGCACATAGATAGGTCTTGTGGTAAACTGGAGCCTTTTGATAGTTTGGGATTTTTGAAAATTTCTTCTTTTGAGTTTCCATAGCAACGATTTTGACTTAGACTGAAAATGGCGGAAGTGCTTGTTTCTTTAGCAGATCTTGAAAAATGTACAATATTTCTTGCCTTACACACAACCTGACATGTCATATTATCGGGGGATTGAGTATTTCAGGCTTGTTTGGTTTTTGTCAGTTTTTGGAGGATGAGATGTGAATTGTGCAAATCTAGACCCCTGACTGGCAATTTTGACAGATCACATTTGATATGCTGACACACTGAAAAGTCTGTTTTCATAATATTCAATATATGTAAGTGGTATTCATTTGTTTTGAGAAAAGATTATCGTCAGAAGTGTTGAATATGTGTGTAAGTTCAGAGGCAGCTGCTTATGGTATCACTGGTTTGCCCGATCCCGACCCATGATATAGCTGGAATATTGCTGACATTAACTCGACCCGTGAAGATCCGGGGTAGAATAGGTTTTCAGCAACCCATGCTTGCTGTAAAAGGCGACGATGCTTGTCGTAAAAGGTAACTAACGGGATCGGGTGGTCAGGCACACTTGGTTGATGCATGTCATCAATCCCAATTCCGTGGATTGATGCTCATGATATCAATCACTGAATTGTCTGGTCCAGACTCGTTTATTTACAGACCGCCGTCATATAGCTGGAATATTGCTGAGTGCAGCGTTAAACAACAAACCAACCAACCAACCAAGCTGACATAAACTCACTCTCTCTCTTCTTGTTTAGGAGCCGTTCTGGGTGGTTCTGAATGACCGTATCGTCGACGCCTTCAACAGCACCCAGCTGACCCAGTCCAGCTACAAGTACCCCTTCCAGATGTTCAACTTCCACTCCAGCCACATCGTGTTTGCCGAGCAGCAGTGCAGCTACCTCCTCGGACTCTGCCACGCCATTTGGCACCACGCCGGCATCGGACAGCTCAGCCAGCTGCCACAGTACGTCCATCATCACATGGAGAGGGTTGATGGAAGGGAGGGGTTGATGAAAGGGAGGGGTTGATGAAAGGGAGGGGTTGATGGAAGGGAGGGGTTGATGGAAGGGAGGGGTTGATGGAAGAGAGGGGTTGACATGGGAAGGGAGGGGTTGATGTAAGGGAGGGGTTGGCATGGGAAGGAAGGGGTTGATGGAACAAAGGGGTTGACATAGGAAGGTAGGGGTTGATGGAAGAAAGGGGTTGACATGGGAAGGGAGGGGTTGATGGAACAAAGGGGTTGACATAGGAAGGTAGGGGTTGATGGAAAAAAAGGGGTTGACATGGGAAGGGAGGGGTTGATGTAAGGGAGGGGTTGGCATGGGAAGGAAGGGGTTGATGGAACAAAGGGGTTGACATAGGAAGGTAGGGGTTGATGGAAGAAAGGGGTTGACATGGAAAGGGAGGGGTTGATGGAACAAAGGGGTTGACATGGGAAGGGAGGGGTTGATGGAACAAAGGGGTTGACATGGGAAGGGAGGGGTTGATGGAACAAAGGGGTTGACATAGGAAGGGAGGGGTTGATGGAAGGGAAGGTTTACTGGTAGGGGGGTTGATGGAAGGGAGGGGTTGATGGAAGGGAGGGGTTGACATGGGAAGGGAGGGGTTGACATGGGCAGGGAGGGGTTGATGGAACAAAGGGGTTGACATGGGAAGGGAGGGGTTGATGGAACAAAGGGGTTGACATAGGAAGGGAGGGGTTGATGGAAGGGAAGGTTTACTGGTAGGGGGGTTGATGGAAGGGAGGGGTTGATGGAAGGGAGGGGTTGATGGAAGGGAGGGGTTGACATGGGAAGGGAGGGGTTGATGGAACAAAGGGGTTGACATGGGAAGGGAGGGGTTGATGGAACAAAGGGGTTGACATAGGAAGGGAGGGGTTGATGGAAGGGAAGGTTTACTGGTAGGGGGGTTGATGGAAGGGAGGGGTTGACATGGGAAGGGAGGGGTTGACATGGGAAGGGAGGGGTTGATGGAAGGGAAGGTTTACTGGTAGGGGGGTTGATGGAAGGGAGGGGTTGATGGAAGGAGGGGCTGATGGAAGGGAGAGGTTGATTAAACTTTGACACAAAAATACCAATACATGATGAGATTTAATAGGATAAGTCAAAGTGTCAAACACTGTCAGTTTGAATGCCATCTGCCTTGCTGATAATAAATACAATTTGTGATACTATCGAAACATGAACATGTCAAGTAAAATATAATAATGGGATTCTAGTGATTGATAGTGTATTTAAATAGTACATGGAATGCTCTGATAAATCTGAGAGACAATGATCACCAACATCTGACCCTGCTCCTGTGTTGATGTCAGGTTTCTAAAGGAGCGCCTGAAGCCGGTGATCAAGACGGAGGAGCAGTACCTCTACCTGTGCCACCTGATCGGGCCCTTCCTCCAGCGCTTCCACGTCGAGAGAACAAGATGTCTGCTGGAAGTAAGTTGAAGAAATAATCACATACATCTAGGAATTGTCAATTTCTGCTGCATCCGGCTCATGTCACACATCTGTGTATGCCAGGATCGAGGTGTACCTGGGCTTACTGGGGGGCCTCCTGGTGACTGTGTTTACTTGTCAGGCAGACGGCTCAGGTTTGATTCTCCACATGAGTACATATGCTGGCAAGTCTTAGTATGATATCAGACCTTGAAGAATTTCTTAACCAAGCAAACAAATCAGAATTCTGCAAGAAAAAACATTAAAACAATATTGAAACAAAAACTAATTATACCCCCGACCTTTTAGGTCGGGGGTATATAGTTATACCAAGGTTCCGTCTGTCCGTCCGAAAACTTTGTCCGTGCAATTTCTCTTAAACTATGCAGTGGATTCATCTCAAACTTAGTACATATAATCTGTGTCTCATATGGAGGGGTGCAGTCAAAAGAAAACAATTGTTTTTGTTAATTTTCCATTTTTTTATGAATTTTTCAAACCCTAACCCTATCCATTATTTAATTTGAAACTACTGACACACTAGGAGGGTCGGGGGTATTTTGTGAGCCACGCTCACTTTTGCCCTTGTTGTTTTGTTGGATTGCTATGGACAGATTTATAGTTGTGAATGTAAATCAGATTAGGCTGTATCAGTGTAATGTTTGCTTAGGTGGTTGCTTCTGGCTATCTCCTGCATGGTGTAATGCTTCCCGTACCCAGGGCCTTCCTGCACATGGCTATCTTCGCGCTATGTTAAAGTATGGGAGCTACAATCATCGTAGTGGTAAGATCACTTTGTGCAAGTGGGCCCTGGACCGTATGGTTTCAATACTGCTACCTTTGATACACCCTCACCACGAACTGTGGTTCAATAACTGTGGTTCAATAACTGTGGTTGTTGTTGCAGCTGACGGTGGAGCTGTATGAGATCCTGATGACTGTGGACAAGTCGTGTGAACACCTCAACTTCATGGACCCCATCTGTGACTTCCTGTATCCTTCCTGCTTCTATATGTCTCTACGACTGGGCACGTCTCTACGACTGGGCACGTCTCTGCTACTGGGCACATCTCAGCTACTGTTTGGGCACATCTCAGCTAATGTTTGGGCACATCTCTACTACTGGGCACATCTCAGTTACTGTTTGGGCACATCTCTCCTACTGGGCACATCTTAGCAACTGTTAAAGCACATCTCTACTACTGGGCACATCTCAGCTAATCTTTGGGCACATCTCTACTACTGGGCACATCTTAGCAACTGTTAAAGCACATCTCTACTACTGGGCACATCTCAGCAACTGTTTGGGCACATCTCAGCAACTGTTTGGGCACATCTCAGCAACTGTTTGGGCACATCTCTACTACTGGGCACATCTCAGCTGCTGTTTGGGCACATCTCAGCTACTGTTTGGGCACATATCAGCTACAGTTTGGGCACATCTCAGCTGCTATTTGGGCACATGACTGTGTGGTTTGGAGTACAAATTTATGTGGGGTACACGGGTGGCCCAGTCATCTGAGGCTGTGCTGAATTCAGTCCAGAAACCTTTGATCATGGTTTCAAATCCCAGAATCACCCTGATTCTGTCCATGCTTGTCAGCACCATACCCATGATCTGCTGTAAAAGGCAACTATGCTTGTCGTAAGAGGCGACTACCGGGTGGTCGGGCTCGCTGACTTGGTTGATGCATGTCATCGATCCCAATTGTGTAAATCAATGCTCATGATATCAATCACTGGATTGTCTGGTCCAGATTTGATTATTTACAGACCACTGTCATATAGCTGGAATATTGCTGAGTGCGGTGTTAAACAATAAACCAACCAACAACCAACCCATTACAGGCGACATCAGAAGACCTTTCACATACCTTGACCAATCACGAAAAATTACTTACATTAGCCAATCATTAAACAGCTTTCTCGACCTGTAATGGGATGTCCTCAGATCTTTATTTAGGGGTAGCGAGAACTAAGATCTGATTTTAATAATATGGACCTAATTCAGTTGGTTTTTATCAATATAATTCTCCATAGCACTTTTGTAACAGACATTTATGCAGAATTCTAACTGAACCCTCGCATCCCTATGTCTCCATGTTCCTTAGCGCTAACCAGCTACCACATCAAGTATATGTTCATCGGGGATGGTGTGAAACACGACGTGGAGAAGGTCATACGCAATCTTCGACCTGCTCTTCAACTCCGCCTCCGTTTCATCTCCCACATCAATGTCGAGGAGCCAGTGTCTGCCTGATGGATGCTCTCACCATTGACCACTGGTTTGTGTGGTCCCACTCGATATGCAATGATACAGCTGATGTATGGTACTGTAGAGCGTCACACCACGTTCAGTCACTCACTTTGTTTGTTATCATGGAAAGTGCATCAGTAAGGGTGGTGGGGTAGCCTCGTGGTTAAAGTGTTTGCTCGTCACGCTGAAGACTCAAGTTCGATTCCCCACAAGCGTACAATGTGTGAAGCTCATTTCTGGTGTCCCCCTCTGGGATATTGCTGGAATATTGCTACAAGTGGCGTAAAACCATACTCACTCACTCACTCACTGCATCAGTAAGGGCTATGTGCAAACAACCAACACCAAAGAAGTTCACCAAAACCAGAGTGGTGCCAGTAGCACTTCAGTTTTTCAGTATACATCGAGGTGTGAACAGTTGTCATGATCTGGACTTATGAAGTTCTTCTGACGGGATGTTTGAAACATCACCTGCTGGGAGTTAGCTCCCTTCCTCCCCAGTGTAATGTCTGTCACATATGATCTGGCCATACAGCAGAGATCAAACAGCTTGAAATGAGCTTGATGTTAAATAAGTAAAGACACCTTTGATGCAAGAAATAATGTCAATGTTGGCTGAATACTTCTGCTTCTGCTTTGTACTCAGAAACCGTGAGCAAATATTTCATGTGAGTAACCTTCACCTTGCAACACTTCTGACATGACAACAACATCAAAACTCTACCAAGAGACTCCCGAATACCTCCAGGCCACATATCCTGGTATCCCGGAACATTCCAGGAAACAGAAGTCAGCAAACTTCCATTCAGGATGAGCTGTCAACAAAACCTAGATGTACAGGATTCAGCTGCAGCCATTGGAAAGATCCTTTCCTGCAAAATAATTTTTTTTGAAAGATGTAGAACGTTTCTGTCAGGTTGCCCAAGTTCGGTAGGGTATGTTTCAGTGCATGGACGATCATGTATTATAATGTTGGGACTCTGAAGTGCACAAAATGCAAAACGTAAAGTAAAGGAATGACAAGACTGTCATCTCCGCCCCTCGCCCACATGGTGTTGGCCGTTACTCTTAAACAGTAAGCATTTTGCTGATTTTCTCACAAAAGCCATTGTTCAACTCATTCCAGTATTTGCCATGTGACAAGGATAGACATGCCATCATTGTCAAACTTCATTCATGATGCTATCTCCATTGTGCTGAGAATTGTATCTGCTCTTATTTAGAAGTTCCTGTTAGCGTCAAAAATTAAAACGAGATATTTGTAAATGGAATTTTAAAAACAAATTTTCGACGTACCTATCAGCCTTAATTTGGGGCCAAAATTCTGTAAACTGAAAAAAAGGAAAAAGAGTCTGACCCAACATCTGTATACGGAAGGCAGATGCTCAGGAGAAATAGATTATGGGAATAATAGCAGTTGATCCTCAGACAAGTACGTTATGAAATATTTGTATCAGCAGGCATCCTTTATGGCATTGTATGAAGTTGGTGTCAATACTTGGTGTCAATACTGTATTTTCTTGTAATCATGCTGGCATTTCACCTTGAATGTTGTACCCTTGTCTCAGTCCATATGTGTACCCTGTCTCTGTCGATATGCTTCTTTGATATGTGGAATTATGTATCCTCATAAAAAAAACTGATATTTCAATGAGCGTGACCCCTGGACAACATGGCCTCCAGTTTCAACATTCACTACTTTAATCAATGTTCAAATTTGTGTTTGTCTCAAGTGAATGTTTCATATAAACGCACATCCTATACATGTGGGTTTTACGTTCAGAAACATTTAATTTAGGATGGAAATCTTTGCCGCTGTAACATTTCCATCGTCAACATATCATTTGATAGTGACATAGTGACAGTTCATGTATCTCACACGATGACAAAGATGTCTGACTTGACCAACCCGGTGGGATTCCATGTCAGACTTGGCCCAATGGCCAGGTTTGCCGACTTGGTTGATAGCATTTCATCATACTCTGACAGTGTGGATTTTTGCTCATAATATCAATCACTAGATTAACTGGTCCAGACTCCATTCTTGTTGCGAATAGATGCAAGATTGCTGATGCGATCACTCCCTCACACCAGACTCAATTATTTACAGACTGCCATCAAATAGCTGAAATATTACTGAGTGAGGCGTTAAACAACAAACAAACCATCTTGATCCTCCGTGCAGTGTTTCCTATATATTGAAAGCAGCATGGTTCTGCCATGTCCGTCTCGGGAGGCTTCATCCCAACCAGACTTGACTATTTTACAGACCACCGTCATATAGCTGGAATATTGCTGAGTGCGTCATTAAACAAAAAACAAAAAAATCATTCTGTAATTTGTCAAGATGGTAAGATATATTCTGGATGTCTTATTGCACGAATGGGGAGCACGGGTGGCCCAGTCGTCTAAAGAGCTGTGATACGCTGTGCAGAGTTGCGTCCCTTGGACACGCCAGAAACCTATGATTGTGGGTTCGAATCCTGGTTCACCCCGATTATGTTTCTAGGTTTGTCAGCTCCATACCTGTGCTTGTGGGTTTCACCGAAGTGGTAAACGTCTGAGACCTGCATCACTTCGGGCTTTCGTCCCACATTAAGCTGACACACCGTGATATAACTGGAATACTGTCAAAAGCGTTGTTAAACCCAACTCACTCACTCACTCACTCACTCACAATTGCACAAATGGACTTCCAATTTTATAGGGAGGGCGCTTCACAATGTGAATTGTTTTTGTTTCATTTTGGAAATTTTGGATGTTTTATTTGTTTCCGATGCGGCTAAGATCAGCTGTACAACATGATTTCCAACTACCAAATGGAACTGACGTTATTTTAGAATGAACGCATTGTCTCACTATGTATTTGCCATGTTCTGTTGTTTCTGTATTTATTTACCATAACATCTGTCATCATGTACATTGTGTTACATTTCAGTGAACACAAACACAAAGATGTTGATGAGATTGTTTTCGTACCCACACTTGCTGCTCTTCTCATGTAAACACTGATAGACTAGAGGTGAACAACCTCTTGTAGGTGAGAATGTAAATATTTATGTCTCTATGTTGCCAACAATCTTACGGTGCCAGAGGGCAGTGGGGTAGCCTGGTGGTTAAAGTGTTCGCTCGTCATGCCGAAGACCCAGGTTCGGATCCGCACATGGCTTCATAGTGTGAAGCTCATTTCTGGTGTCCCCTGCCGTGATATTGCTGGAATATTGCTAAAAGCAGCGTAAAACCAAACTCACTCACTCAATTACAGTGCCAGAGTGACTTGTTGAGTCTCTGGCTTAGGCCATAATTAATTACTTATTAGATTTTCACCATGCCTGCCTTTGTACCAAACACACAGCCTCAAATCATTTTATTGTTTCCAAGAATCTGGAGACTGAGAAAATCACTGTGTCCCCTTCTTGCTTTGCTTGAAAATCTACCATAGCAATAGGGAAAAAAGGGAAAGGTTTTGAGGCCACAAATATATGAAGAATTAGATTTACATCCAAAAGAGAGAAAAAATGTGGAGCAGAATGCCTTTTAGTTTTCCTATTTCATTTACCGTGTTCGATATAATTAAATAAGCGCCCAGGGCTCTCTCAAAATTAGAAATAGGGGACTCTTATTCAAAATTATTTTGGTGGAAAAAAACCAGAGTTGACAGATAAATTTTGTGGTTTATGCTGACAGCCTGAAATGTTTATATACGACCGATGTATTTTTCCAGATTTGTTTTGCCCATAATTAAAGGTGCATAAATAAGTCTTTAATCAAAAAGGGTGCTAATTGGGATTGTTCACTAGCCAATATATTAGCAAATATCGCCGTGGGCTCTTATTACAGCGGGGCGCTTATTAGGTCGAATAAGGTAATTATGTCCTGTCTAAAGATATATCTATTTTATTATTTTGTGCTTAATAATAATAATAATAACAACAACAACAACAACAACAACAATAATAATAGTTTGCACACACTCTTGCATACTTCTAGCACTATAAAATTTAGAAATAAAATATACATATATCCAAAAGACTGTAGGATAAGGGGGACAGTACATTGAGAAGTAAATGTTTGGAGTAAGCAGTTGTGAATAGATATATCTTCAGGAAGGATTTACTTAAATTAAAAATATAATTTTTTATGTTTTGTATGAAAATCTAACTGTTAATTTCTTTTAGCTTCAAAAATATGTTCAAAACATGTTAGAAGTGGCCTATTATTGTGATTTGTGTCTGCATCTTCTCCGAGACAGGGCCTGTTTCGTAAAGCGTTACTTGCACCAGATCGCCTATACTTTAAGATAGACTTGTGAAAGTCGTAGCGCTACGGTTGCCTTGTGCTTTGGATGGCCACTGCAGCCATGACGGTGGTAAGTGTATGGATGGACGGTGCATGAAATGGATGAGGAATGTCTGATGTTGTTTATGACAGACTGGGGATAAAGTGACAACTGTTCTCAATACTACAAGTGTTCAGGAGAAACCAATTTGTGACTAAAACCCTGTTTGTATGCATGCTGCTTGCATATTTGTCAGATAGGAAGATGGTCTCAGCGGGTTCTGTCTTGATTGTTACCTGAAGATGGATAAACCATGTGGACAGCAATGAGAATAAAATGTAAATATCTACATGTGTTTTGTGATATTCCATAACTGTCAAGAACATAGGCCACACATCTTCCATGATCTGTTTCAGGGGCTGCCACTAATTAGTCATCCTCTCTATCTCCAGGGCTCCCATTTTGGTTAACCCACACTACAGTCCGCTTGGCTCATAATGAGAACTATGAGTGAGTGAGTGAGTTGGGTTTAACGCCGCTTTTAACGGTATTCCAGTTATATCGTGGTGTGTCAGCTTAATGTGGGAGGAAAGCCCGAAGTGATGCAGGTCTCAGACGTTTACCACTTCGGTGAAACCCACAAGCACGGGCATGGTGCTGACATACCTTGAAACATAATCGGGGCGAACCGGCGAATCACGGCCCTTAGACCACTGGGCCACCCGTGCCCCCATGAGAACTATGAATTCCAAAATAAGCGTTAACAGGGTACACAACAATGTACTGCACTGCTGCAACTGGTGGTGGCTTTGGTTTCTAGGCAATATGAGTTACCTCCCTTACCCCCTCCTTTTGTCGAAGTTTGATTGGTCGGTAAGATGTTAATAAAAATCAAGGGCAGGTAATCTAAGATCGCGAGAACCACGGGAATGGATCCAGGGATTAGTGTAGGGTTCCGAAATGCTAGCCCTTGAGAATTATAGAGGATGTTGAGTTGTGGGACGAGAATGTCTCCCTAAGGGGAGTGGGGTTGATGGGATGGGACCCAGTTTCAATCCCTCTCATGAGAGCACACACGCACACACACACATTATCACAGACACATTCAATCACGACCCGTGAAGATCAGGGTCTTCAGCACCCCATGCTTGCTGTAAAAGGCGACTGTGCTTGTCATAAGAGGCAACTAACAGGATCGGGTGGTCTGGCTCGCTGACTTGGTTGATGCATGCCATCGTATCTCAATAGCGTGGATCGATGCTCATGATTTAAATCACTTGATTGTCTGGTCCAGACTCGATTATTTCCAGACCGCCGTCATATAGCTGGAATCTTGCTGAGTACGGCGTTAAACAACAATCAAACACACAAAGGGCAAACACATTCGATCACAGATTCACTTCTGGCTCATATACTTTATCACTGACTCATTCCCATCAAGTCATCATTCTGAGACTTACTCACATACCCATACTCACTGACACCAAGTGATAGCCACTGACTCTCAAACAGACACCAAGTGATAGCCACTGACTCTCAAACAGACACCCAGTGATACCCACTGACTCTCAAACAGACACCAAGTGATACCCACTGACTCTCAAACAGACACCCAGTGATACCCACTGACTCTCAAACAGACACCCGGTAATACCAACTGACTCTAAAACAGACACCCGGTGATACCCAGTGACTCTCAAACAGACACCCAGTGATACCCACTGTCTCTCAAACAGACACCCAGTGATACCCACTGACTCTCAAACAGACACCCAGTGATACCCACTGTCTCTCAAACAGACACCCAGTGATACCCAATGACTCTCAAACAGACACCCAGTGATACCCATTGACTCTCAAACAGACACCCGGTGATACCCACTGACTCTCAAACAGACACCCAGTGATACCCAATGACTCAAACAGACACCCAGTGATACCCACTGACTCTCAAACAGACACCCGGTGATACCCACTGACTCTCAAACAGACACCCGGTGATACCCACTGACTCTCAAACAGAAACCAAGTAATACCCACTGACTCTCAAACAGACACCCAGTGATACCCACTGTCTCTCAAACAGACACCCAGTGATACCCACTGACTCTCAAACAGACACCCAGTGAGACCCACTGTCTCTCAAACAGACACCCAGTGATACCCACTGACTCTCAAACAGAAACCAAGTGATACCCACTGACTCTCAAACAGACACCCAGTGATACCCACTGTCTCTCAAACAGACACCCAGTGATACCCACTGACTCTCAAACAGACACCCAGTGAGACCCACTGTCTCTCAAACAGACACCCAGTGATACCCAATGACTCTCAAACAGACACCCAGTGATACCCACTGACTCTCAAACAGACAGCCGGTGATACCCACTGACTCTCAAACAGACACCCAGTGATACCCAGTGACTCTCAAACAGACACCCAGTGATACCCACTGACTCTCAAACAGACACCAAGTGATACCAACTGTCTCTCAAACAGACACCCGGTGATACCCACTGACTCTCAAACAGACACCCAGTGATACCCACTGACTCTCAAACAGACACCCGGTGATACCCACTGACTCTCAAACAGACACCCAGTGATACCCACTGACTCTCAAACAGACACCAAGTGATACCCACTGACTCTCAAACAGACACCCAGTGATACCCACTGACTCTCAAACAGACACCCAGTGATACCCACTGACTCTCAAACAGACACCCAGTGATACCCACTGACTCTCAAACAGACACCCGGTGATACCCACTGACTCTCAAACAGACACCCGGTGATACCCACTGACTCTCAAACAGACACCCGGTGATACCCACTGACTCTCAAACAGACACCCGGTGATACCCACTGACTCTCAAAAAGACACCCAGTGATACCCAATGACTCTCAAACAGACACCAAGTGATACCCACTGACTCTGAAACAGACACCCAGTGATACCCACTGACTCTCAAACAGACACCCAGTGATACCCACTGACTCTCAAACAGACACCCAGTGATACCCACTGACTCTCAAACAGACACCCGGTGATACCCACTGACCGCCAGATCTCGTTAGTCACCTCTTACGACAAGCATAGTTGCCTTTCACGGCAAGCATGGGTTGCTGGTGGGGAACAGGGTGACTCTACAATGATGGAGTTGCAGGCCACAGAGAAGACTAACTGTCTCCTGTGAGAGAACCAGAGGGACCAAGTCGTCTTTA